CATAAAAATATGCCTTTCCCACAGAGATGTCCTCACTCCCCTCTCTCTAATGGTTGGCAAATTGTGACCATATGTTCTGCACTTTCTCCGTCTAGAATTCCACGGGTACTAATAGTATTGTTGTGTCCCACAGCTATAAACCTGTTTTAGGTAAATGCATTTACGCCTTAAAGAACATGAGTTTCTGAAGACCAAAATAATAGACTGCCAACAGCACACTAAACAGTGCTTCTGTATTCTCCTCATGTTTTCATTAAGTCAAAGCTTTCTCCTGGATGTTTGAATTCCCACAACAATAAACCACATTCAAATGGATTCCTACTGCAAAACAAAGATGAATAAACACAGCTTGCTCGTGATCACAAATAGAATAGCAGATATTTGAGAGGCATCAGGTAAACAACTGAAAGTAGATTTCATCTAGATTACTGATGTAAATGCTACTACTCCTAAGAGCCTCCATTTATGCCTCCAGGGGAAGTGATTTAGGTTTTCCCCAAGCAATTGCTAGGTGTATTTTCAGCTACAAATGACAGAATACCTGGCTATGGGTGGCTTCACTGATAAAGACATTTGTTACTTTGTGCAATAAGTAGCCTCTGCAGGTTTAGGGCAACAGCTCGCCCATATCTGCACATGAATGGTTAACTCTGTGGTTCTCTTGGCCTTGCCCTCATGGTCACACGATGACGTCTTGATGTCAACCAAGATGACAACAAGCCAAAAAGAAGCAAAGGCAAAAGGCTTGTCTTTCATGAGGCTGGCTTTTCAGTAAGGGGACAACCTTAGCAGACTTCTTTTAACTCATTAACCAGAACTGTGAAATGTGCTCACCCCTAAGTCCGTCATGGTTGGAGGGGAATGGAGGCATTATGACCACATTGAATTGATCACAATTCTTTTCTGAAGTCAGACCAGGAGCTCTGTCTTCGGCAAGACTAAGAGACTTCTGCCAACTAACTGAATAATCGGAGGTTTCCTTAGAAGCAAGGAAGGGAAATCACAGGCAGCAAGAACTAGACCATGCCCACCAGAGGTCCCTGAGCCCGCAAGAACTGCCCGTCTGAAAAAATGAAGATGGTAGGCCTATTTGCCTCACTGGTCTCAACAAGTTTTATGAAGTAGATGCTATGTGCACTGCCCAAACCAAACCCTGTGCCACTGAGTCAAGTCTGAACCACAGTGGCTGTATAGGACAGAATAGAACTGCCCGGAGGCTATTAGCTCTTTTAAGGAGAAAGACAAGAAAACCTCATCCTGCTCCCATGGAGCAGCTGCTCATTTTGAACGGGAATTCCAGAAGAGGTCATTGTGCTCATTCGGAACCTGTCCATGGATCAAGAGGCAGTTGTGCAAACAGAACAAGGGAACTCTGCATGGTTTAAAATCAGGAAAACTGTACATCAGAGTTATAGCCCGTCACCATACTGATTCAGTCTGTATGCCGAGCAAATAATCAAAGAAGCTGGAGGCTATGAAAAAAATGGGGCATTAGAATTGGAGAAAGGCTTATTAGCAACATGCAATATGTAGATGACCAGACGTGCTTGCTGACAGAGAATGTGAAGTATTGACTGATGAAGATCAAGGCTTTCAGCCTTCAAAATGGATTGTAAGTCAATGGAAAGAAAACCAACATCCTCACACCTGGACCAATAGGTATCATCATGATAAACAGAGCAAAGTTTGAAATTGTAGAGGATGTCATCTTGCTCGCGCTACAATCAATGCTCCTGGAAGCAGGAGTCAGGAGATCAATGGCACGTTGCATTGGGTAAATTGGCTGCACAACCTCTTGAAAATGTTGAAAATCAGGGAGGTTTCTTTGATGACTAAGGTGCACCTGACACAAGCCATGGTATTTTCAGTTGCTTCATTTGCATGTGAAAGTTGGACAGCGAAGAATTGATGCGTTTGAGTCACTGTGCTGGTAAAGCACCATAGACTGACAAAAGAACTAACAGATCTGTCTTGGGAAAAGTACAGCCAAATGCTCCTTGGAGGCAAGGATGGTAAGACTTCATCTCAAGTACTTTGGACATATTCTCCGGAAAGACCAGTTCCCAGGGAAGGACATCATGCTTGGAAAAGCAGAGGAGCAATGAACATGGGGGGCCCTCACAGGATGGCTTGACAAAATGGTTGCAGCAGTGGGCTCCGACTTAAGGCCATGATCAGGAGGGCACCGGGCCTCAGTAGTTCCTGGGTTGTACATAGAGTTGCACTGAGTCGGCACACAAGTTCGATGGCACATAACGGCAACAACCTTATTCCAATTGGCAAGATGGTTTTTGGTTTTTGGGTGTTTTTAAAAAAAATAATTTCCTTTCCTTCCTTTTGGGGGGTCAGTAGTAACAACAGAGTGTAATCTTTTGAATAACGTAATAAGGTAATTTTTCACTGGCTATTTTTATCAAACACTTGAGTTATTGACCTTGTCAGTGTAAAGTATTATATTCGTTCACACCATAATTTGATCCAACATCTTCAGTAGAAACCAGTGAGGTAAGAAACACTAATTATTTTTGCGGAGGCCCATATACATTCACTATACCAAGCCAGGGGGAACATTTCTTGTGAAAGAAAGATACATCACTCAAAAAAACAGGAGAGATTAGTGCTGAAATAAGTCATTCTTCTAAGGCCCCTCTTTCACTTATTAAGTTATGATTCTGTATGTACACAGTGCTCTGGTTTGTGTAAATTACATGGCTTCTAGGCTGCTTTGTAAATTTCAAGTCTGCTTCGTGAATGTTTTAATGAAGAATGAACAATGATTCCCGGGGACAGCTCTGATTCAGACTTGTCATGCTTCCAGATGTGCACCTGGTCTTTTATTATGTCTCACGTAGAAAGCTGGTGGGCAGTTTTCTGACAGAACCTCGTAAATGAATCAAGATTCAGTAAAGTATATATCAAAAAATGTAGAATTAGAATTATGGTAATGTGGCACAATAGCTTAAACATGGTAAATGCACTCGGCGTCTAGGTACTGAAATGTGAACGTGGTGCTTCTCTTTCATTTGCTGTTGTCTTGGAACCGAGCTGTGCATGCAGCGCCTTCACCTTCTGTTGCTTGTCTAGGTGCCAGCTTCTCTCCCAAAGGTGTTCAGTGACTAATGCTTTGGTTACAAGCCAGAATATTTTATAAATGTCTATTTCTAGGCAGCTCTTCTACAAGTCTTAATTAAACTTTAATGTCAAGCAGAGTTTACTTTTAGAACTTCTTAGGTTCCATGGGATGTAACATGATTAGCAAAAGTAAGGAGAATGTAGATCAGCCATGTCTGTGTACATTTCTTCTCTCTCGCTTCAGACCTGACCACCAGCAGACACGTGCCTAGGTCACACAAAGGTTCACAGTACAGAAGGAATCATTATAACCATCTCCTCAGTTATTGGATAGCTAGCACACTCCCATGTCGTCAGGTTTCTCCACCCTGAAATGATAGCCTTGTTTCAGAACAATGGCTTTGTTAGTTATTGCATATTCTTCCAGCAATGTCCAAATTCTCAGACCCAGCGATCAGAAGGGAAAGCTGCTATATGTGAAAGTCCTCTTCCTTGTCTACTATACATCTCCAGACTCACTAAGAAATTGAGGGAACTGGTAGTTTCTGAAAGACAGCACTGAAAGAATGAAACTTAGCTCGATCTTTTGGAATCATATGTCCAGGCCGTTCTTTTGAGATGCCTCAAAGAGTCCCTAGGTGATATAGATTGTCCAGCGTCCAGCTGCTAACTAGAAGGTTGGTGCATCTGCTCTGTCCCGAGGTTTCTTGGAAGAAGGACGTAGACGTATCTTTCCCAAAGATCAAAGCCATTGAAAACTCTATGTAACACAGTTCTAGCATGACACACAAGGGTTGCTAGGAGATGGAATCCACTCCATGACAACTGTTAAAAGAATCAGAGAACCACAGAAGTGATCCTCTAGGGAGGGACAGATAACACATAGCTTAGTCTGTAGCTCGTTAGTGTCTGTCTCCAGTAGTCAGCTCTGTCTTTGTTCTGTGGGAAGCAGCCATGGATTGTACACAAATAATGCGTGCGCGTCAGTGACGGTTACGGACAAAATGAAAAATCAGTTCGAGTTTTGCCGGGAGCAGTAGCCTCACAACCCTGCTCTTGAGTCTACTTGCCTTTTCCGTGCACTGGACGCCTCTCTTTGTTATTGGGATAGAACCCATTTGATGGCATCCTGGTAACAGCCCCACCACTCGTTCTACCACAAAGACCCAAGAAACCAAGTGAAACCAGTACTTGTGTTAATCCTGGAACTCTAAGCATCAAATGAAAGGGTAAAGAATTCAATTAAGCACCAATTGGAAAAAGAAACAGGAAGGAAACATTGATTGAGGAGCGAGATGGAGTGGAGACTGGACACAGCATGGCCATTTTGACATGTACCTGTTAGGTGCCATCAAATCAGTTCTGGTCGATAGCAACCTTATACCCCGAATTTGGAAGACCTCATGCATCCAACATATTTCAGATATAACAGCCCTTTCCTATCCCTTGCTAACTTTCAACAAAATATTCCTTATTTCTTCCTTTTCCCTACTTCCCCATACATCCTCTCTTTGGGTTGGGCAAGCATTAGTTCAATATCTATCCAAAGATTAAAAGAAAGAAACAAAAAATATATATTTTGCCTTTAGAAAAAATGCTAAATAATTAGGAAATCATAAAGAAAAGGTCATATCCAGAAATATCATATCATATCAATGAAATACAAAACGAAGTATAACAGAAAAAGACTTCTTTAATCAGTTTTTCTAAAAAAAAAAACCCTTCTTGTTTAATAGCTATCAATTTATCTGAAAAATAGGAAATCAAGTGTTATTTTAAATGTGTGTTTGCAATGGCTTGCATGAGGTCATGCATAAGGTGCTTTTTCCAGAATAATATTTTATGTTTGGGATGAATCATTACTATGTGAAGAGATGGGGGTTTTTGATTTCCTAAACAAGTGCTAAATAACATTCCTTAACCTTTAGGCCGCATGAGAATAAAAGCTATCTTGCTGTGGGAAGTATGAAGACATTAATGTTGAATGTGTCCTTGTTTAATGCTGGCGATGATGCGTATGACACCACTCTGCAGGTCAGACTGCCCACCGGTCTGTACTTCGTGAAGATGTTAGACCTGGTAAGTGTCGCAAAGGGTGCTGGGCATGCAGTGATTCACGTGCATAACTGATAACCAGCGGTGGGCAGTGCCAACCCAACAGCCACTCTGCCCGACTCCCATAAAAATCACAGCCTTGGGAACCGGCTGGGCAAGTTTTCCTACGTCTTATAGAATCGCTGTGAGTTGGAATTGGCTTGAAAGCAAGAGGCCTGGTTTTAAAGTATTGAAATCATGATGCAATATTATGATAATAACTTGTACTGAATGTCTTATTTATCTTTAAAAAATGATCTGTGGTGACAATGTATTTCAATATTTGTGTGTAAGAGTTAATATTCAGATGTATCACTTAGGCCCCTAATACGTTTTTGAGACTCTTCGTTGGCCTGCTCAGTAGGCAAGCTCTTTGGAGTCTGAGACAGACCAGAGTCAGCTTCCTCGTTCAGCAGGACAGAGAGAAGGGGAGCAGGTAGGCGGGCGGGCAGTTTGGATGCCATTGCTTGGCTCACGGCCACATCCTATCTGGTGCTGCGATGAGGCTTTGCTGGTTGGGATCCTTGTAGAAACAGTGGTGGTCCACGGCTAGCGATCCCAATGTCGCTGCTCTTTTCCTGTGAAGTTCACATGCACGGCTTACACCCAAAGGATTTCCAACCTGCCAGAACTCTGCAAACGCCTAGAAATCCTGATGTCGAGTGAGGTTGCAGGCCGGTTTCTCTTTCCCTGCAAGATTTGAAGTCTCATCGGGGAGGTATAAATCAGTGGGATTTCAAGGAGGAAAAGGGCCTGGGTTCCTTTCGGATCTTTGGGTCTATCCCTTAACAGGTTTATCCATCTTTTATCTAGGGGCCATCTCAACACCAACAACATTTCAGAGAGGCCTCTGACCACTCAAAATATACCTTGTTCTCTTTCCTGAGAGTGTTGGGTACCTACCGTATATGCTCGAGGATAAGGCAAGTTTTTTCAGCACTTTTTTATGCTGAAAAAGGCCCCCAGGTTTTTGTGGTTAAAATTGGGTGCCTCGGCTTATACTCGAGTATATGTAGTATTTGAAAAATCAGAGGAAAAGCTTAAGCATTCTAATAATTCTAAAGAGAAATTAAGAAATAGTAATAAATGTGCTCATATGAAATTTACTGATAAGTCTTGCAAACACTTGCAAATTTTTTTAGGAAAATAGTTTTCATCTAGCATACCAACTGCCATTAGAATCACTGGGGTTAAGTAATTCTAGCACATTCTCAGATCCCAGACAGAAAGACCAAATGAGACATGGAGTTGTCTCGTGATTTTTCTAGAACTTGGGCCTTGGATTGAATATAAAGCACACAAACACTGATGAAAGATTTGTCCAGAAGCATTTTGTGGTGAATTTAGACGAGTATTAATGTGTATATGCACCTATATATGCATATATATTATATATAACTTATTTCTATCTCTATTTCTTTATTTTTATCTATTTATTTCTCTATATCCCAAATGTAAACAGAAGATAATTTTCTAAGAAAATTAACACTCCTGGGATGATTTTGCTTTCTTTAAAAAACAAAAATACAAGTATATGTTACGGCGTCCTTGGTTTCTTCCTACCCAAAACATTTGTTCCATTTTTACCTTTAGGAAGAGAAACAAATAAACTGTGAAGTAATAGACAAGTCGGGCCTTGTAGAACTCGACTGCAACGTTGGCTATATATATGTGGATCGTCTGTCAAGGGTAAGCATTTAGCATTTGTGGGTTTTCTTTACTAAAATAACATAAAATGTTTGTTATTTTTCCATATCAATATATTTTCCACTCTTCCCTATCATTATACTATAAACACATATACATATATACAGACATTTTAAACATATATATCTAAAGATACATATACTCATATATATTTTACTTGTATGTGGTTTTGTTTGTTATTTTTTGCTCAGGGTAGGTAGCTTAGTGGTAAAATAAAGCAAAAACCAACTGGGTTTGAATTCTTTGAGATTGTGTTTATATTCCTGGCAATGTTTACTGTTAAAAAAAAGAGGGGTGGGTACATGTTTATGGTGAGAACACGGCTCCCCCATCCTCACCCTTACCCAACACTCCCCACCCCACCCCAGGTGGTCCTATCTGCCAGGCATGTTACCTCTGCTATACAAAAAGGTGTTTCTTGGCAAGAGTCCTCAATCAGGTTGTGAAAGCATTTCTAATTTTCAGTCTGGACCTGACTGTCGGTATTGTCAGAGGCTTTGTCTCTGAATTTTACTTGTGGAAATGCTTGTACTTTGAAATTGTCACAAATCCCCCATCTTTTCTGAACCTTCCTGGCAAGTGAGAGGCCGCTTATGGCACTCAACACAGGTCAGTGTGTCCAAGGAGTGTAATAGATCAAGAAAAATTAAATTTAAGTTAATGTTATTTTAAAAGGTATTTTAGATAAAGGAACAATAGTGAGTTCTCCCTCTCTGTGTGCTTTACAGTTGGATATTAGCTTTCTCCTGGATGCAAGCTCACTCAGTCGAGCCGAAGACAACCTCAACATCACAGTGCATGCTGCCTGGTATGTTTCATCACAGAAAAAACAATTGAACTGTAACAACTGGGCCTCTCTAATCCCAGGAATGGTAGCTGTTAGGGCAGCCACGTAGCTCCATTTCATTAGTTGTGTTTGGAGAAATCTTTTATTAGATTATCTATTTATTATAAAACAAGCAAAACTCTCTAATGAACAGAGAAGTAAATGATAGCAATTCAAATGATGAGAAAATTTCTGCCACCTTGTCATAAAAATCATTTATTACCACATTTGTATCCCCTTCCCTCCCCTTACCACACTCCCCATCCCCCCACCCCCCCAAAAAAAGTTGAAAGAATCTCTGAGGATGTAAGGCCTACATGGTATGTAATTATGGCTTTCTCTGAAAATAATGAATGCGTTGTGCTTGGTGGAATCTAGTGGTGGTTTTTTTTTGTTTGTTTGTTTGCTTCTGTAGTAAAAATGAAGAAGAAATGGACAGTCTGAGGAATAACAAAGTGACGTTAGCAATCCCTCTGAAGTATGAGGTCATGCTGGCTGCTCATGGGTAAGTTGAGTGTGAGGCCCATTGTCAAGTAGCTAGCCTTATTGATAAATTTCAGATGCAGGCATCTGGAGGTTTCATAATCACACTACATGGTGGGGAAGTTATGAAGTGCTAAGTGGTGTGAACTTGGCCAAATCTTTTTTCTCCAGAACCCACGTCCACTTCTAAAGCAAAGGTATTGACACTGAAGAGAGTAGGGTTTGTACCGAGGCCACCACTTTTGTACTCTGGATGGGATGAGACTGAGCTCCTCAGCCAAGGCCCAGGAACCAGCATCCATTGGTTCCTCCTAATTTTAGTAACTGTGTTCATGGATCTTTTGATTCAAGACAGATGTGTTAAAAAAAATGTATGAAAGAAGAGATAAGAAAATCTCCAGCGATTTCACTGGAAACTAATAAAAGCTGTTAGTCTGTGTTTAAAAACACAGTTTTAAAAGCAGGGGAAATATTAGATACAGAACAGACAGATGAGTTTTCTTTGCTGCTCCGATGAAAGGGTGGTGGTGTCTCCGTGGGAGAAAGACCTGACCATCTGTCTGCTACAGGTTACAGCACCCCAGGGCACCTCAAACTACTCCATCATGACGATTACCTCTTCTAGAATCGACATTATAAAGAAAGACCCTCTGGAGTCACTCGTCCAGTAGACTAGTTGAACCCCATTATCGTTTCTTTCCATCAGGTTTGTCAACCCAACCTCATTTGTTTATGGATCACTTGAGGAAAATGAACCTCAAACGTGCATGGCGGAGAAAATTAACTTCACGTTCCATGTAAGAGAAGTGCTTGTGCTGATATGGGTAACGGGACTGAGAGAAGGCTCCCCAGCATCGCATCGCAGCGGGCAGCTCAGCAGGCCCCTTCGCCTTCCTGCCAGCCTGGCTGAGGGGGGAGGGAGCTGCAACACGTGATGTGCATGCTCTCTCCTCTTGTATTTTCATTTCTTTTCCCTCAGTGCCTTGTCCCTGGTCCTCAAGCTTACGTCTCCTTAGGGAGATGATGAAACAGTCAGCAGGTACAAGAGCTATTGCTGGTAAAAAAAGCAAAGTGACGGGTGAGCTAAATCAACCAGAGACACATACAGAAAACAGAAGCAGTCAGGGCATCTTTAGATGTAAATCAATGAGATCTCTTCTCAATAAATCCCTTTAAGCGCCATATCATTATGGCTGAGTGAATACCCTCAAAGAATAGGCTGTGATTAATCACTAGAGGTTGAAATTATTAACAGACTTCAAACTCTGACTGTGTGTGTCCTCTGTAAGCTGCACACTGAAAGTCTCTCCCGCTATAAGGGTTACATAGGGCATTTGGTTTTCTTTAAAAGGTCATGAATATCTGTACTTACACGTATGGGACACATTTTAAGATTGTTAATTTTTTTTTTCATTCTTATCAGGTTATCAACACAGGCCATAGCCTGGCTCCAAATGTCAGTGTGGAAATAATGGTGCCAAATTCTTTTACTCCCTACAACGAAAAACTGTTCAACATTTTGGATGTGCAGGTATAAATGTATTCATTCAACCTGACCTTATTGTGTATGTCTTAAGTTCATGCAGACCAATCCTTTATTCCAAATGATATTGTTAAAATAGAGCTTTCTTTGTACTCATTTCAGTCCATTGCTCTGTTCATTTGCTGTGACTTTCCTGTGCGTTTCTGGAGTACATTTTGAACATGATACATTGCATTACACCCAGGGAATCACACCGGGATCTCTCATTTGATGTACACAGCCACAGAACTAAGGATATATCCTAAATATATACTTTAGGATATATTTTCTTGGTGGTCTGAACCTCTGAAAGTACTTTAACTGGTAAAAATGTTAAGAGCCCTTTAAAAGAGCTATATCCAACTCACTAATCAAGAATCAATGTTCTTGTGCTGATGTTCTGAGTCAGGTCTTGGGGCATGCCACCTTATTACTGTTTTGATTTATGCCTAAGCCAGATAAATGTTTCGTTCAAATTCCATGGTGTTAATTTATGTAAGGTTGAAGCATTTTAGTAGTTTAGGCCATATATCCGGCACACTATCATTTTTCTGGTTTGTTGGCTTGTTTGTTTATGTCTTTGCCACCGAGATTAAGCCTTTCCAAAATAAATCTGTCGCAAATTCAGGAATATCTCATATGTTTTTGGAAAGATAATCATGGGGTTTTTAAAACTCTCCAGTTTTTGTTGTGCTTTCCCCTAATATTGAAAGGCTCTCCTGGTTTTTATCTTCATAGACTACTACCGGGGAATGCCATTTTGTAAATTACCAACGAGTGTGTGTTCAGCAGCGGAAGAGTACGGTGGAAACCATGAAAGACATGCTCAATTTCTTGTCAAAGTCTGACAAGAGGCTCTTGGTAAGTGTCCGTTGTGGACGTTCCCGGTGTGCTTTCGACCGCAGAATGAAACACGCACAGCTCCCCTGGTTGGACCGTAGTCTGTCGCGTGGTGGCAGAGAGCGCACGTTTGGCTGTTGTTCTTGCGTGTGAAGAACAGACCTGATGAGAAGTTTGAGAGGAGTTTAGAGGAAAGATTGCACTTCATTGTATGCTAGACAGACGCTGTTGCAGACCCTCCGGGATACCAAAATGCTGTCCTCACCTGACCAGCCTTTGAGGGATGGGCTTAATTTTCATGCTTCTCATCTTTTTGTTGTTGTTGTTTATATGTGACCATTGTTTGTTTGTTTGGTGGGGGGCGTACTAGATGTACTTGAGTAAGATGTAGATTAGGAGTCTTTCTTTCCATTTGGTCCAAGAAGGGGACAGTCATAAGAATAACGAGAAGGCATACTCCAGTTCAAATTCTTTTTGTTTCGGTTATAATTTACCAAACATTCGCTTTTAGCAAGATCATCTTTTGAAGTACCACTAAGGAAAGCAGATTTTTATTATCAAGCAAAAAGATTTTAGCCATTTAGTTTTAACTGCAGAAAGCTTTGATTAACTTTGTACTTATATTCATGACGCGCTTTGTTTTCTCTTCAAGTTCTGCACAGTCGATGATCCACATTGCTTAATCTTCTTATGCCATTTGGGGAAAATGGAAAGTGGAAAAGAAGCCAGTGTTCACATTCAGTTGGAAGGCAGACCATCTGTTTTAGAAATGGTAGGTCTAAATTATAGAGATAACTCTGGGGGTAGTCCATACCGAACCTGTAAATCCAACCATGTTATGTAGGTAGGATAGGACAGAGGCATGGAATAAATTAAGAAACTCTGAATAAAAGTAAAATTGGAGTAAAATCTAAAATTATGTTTCCATTGATCTCTTCCATACTCCAAATTGATTGAATGACATTTTTTAGTAAATAAACAGGTTATTTAGATGGAGTAAATCAAATTGGCCACCTTTGAATTTCATATGTGTCCATTCCAAACCTCTTTATATTATTCCTAAAATCTCATCTTTTACTTAAGAAAACAAAGAGCCAAATTAAGTTTCATAAAACTAAACTAAAACATCAAAAAACAAAACAAAATAATAAAAGTATAGTTTCAAAAAGTGAACTTTGAAACATTGAATAGAAAATAAAGGAGCATGTATATTTCTGAGGAGTACTTCAAGATAAAGCTACTCTTGATCCCCAACTCTAGGATCTGTTCATTAAATATGGATAGTATCTCTTTATCTGAGATTACAGATTAAATGAGTTGATTTTTTTAATAAAACCTAATAATAACTCATGGCACATTGAAAGACAGAGGAAATGATCTGGTACAATGTGCTGAAAGGAATATCTGAATTTACTATACAGTGTGGTGGTCAAGAGGAAGATGTACCAGACAGGGAAATAAGAAATACCAAAATTAGTTCTAATTCTGTTAAAAATTAAGTCATAGGGCTATCAAACAATCATTCAAAATTTTGCAGTCTACCTTGTCTTCCTTTTAAGCCTAGACTCATCAACAACGGCACTATTGATATTATGGGCCAGATACGTCATTCTTGGGGAAGGGAGAATGGTCTGGTGCATTGTGGGTATTTCACAGAATCCCTAACTTCTACTCATTGGTTAGAATGGAATAAAAATGAGCCCCAAATAAACTGGACTTCAGAAAACATATAAATGTTTTCTTTACCTTATAAAAGAAGTATCCAGATAATAAATTCAGTGCTAGACTAGCTACTTTCATCTATGAAATAATATTTAAATCACAAGTTATCTGCAAAACAGCCTTGCTTACTACAAGAGTTTCAACACAATGATGTCATGTATATTAATACCAGGAACAAAAAGAAGCACCACAGTTAAATACAAGTGAAATAAATTGTGGAAACCTCTAGAGAGTAGGCAAAGAATTTATATCTATTAATATATGATTTTGTGAAATAAAGGATAAAGGATATGCCTTTTATTTAAACAGGATGAGACATCATCACTCAAGTTTGAAATCAGAGCGACAGCCTTTCCGGAGCCAAATCCAAAAGTCATTGAATTAAACAAGGAGGAGAATGTTGCACATGTAAGAAATTGCTACCTTTTTAAGTACAGTAGTAGGGAACTAGCATTATTAGGGTGCTTATAATCACTTCCTATAGAGTACCAGAAGTAACAAAAGTAGATAGTAGCCAAATCATGGAGGGCCTTGCATACTGCAGATTGGTCTTGTCCATGAGTGGAAGGAGGGCAGGACTCTGATTGGTAAACTTGGTGCATGAGAACAGGCTGGCTTGGGGAACAACCATGAGAAGAGCCCATTTTTCACTGTTTCTGCTGAACAACCATCAGTGTTCTCTGTGGTTCTCTGAGACACAGAAGAGAATAGAGTGGGTTGTTAGAACTACGAATGGGGACTATGAGACATTTGAAAGGAGGTATTAACATGTTTTTTAATTGGTGTCTTGTTTTCCTTTTGCTTAATTCATGCAGGTTCTACTAGAAGGACTACATCATCAAAGACCCAAACGTTTTTTCACTATCCTTATCATTTCTATTAGCTTACTACTTGGACTTATCTTACTTTCATTAATCTCATATGTTATGTGGAAGGTAAGTCTTCAGTAACTGCTGAAACTAAACCATTTAAAAAGGCACTTTATGTTCTCAAAGTCAGTGGTTAGCTCCAAGTTACTATATTTAAATATGTTAGTATTTAATAATAACTTTGTAAATTAGATACACAAGTGAGTACCAGTACAAATTTCAGATGTCTACTATCAATATCAAAGTCTTGCTAGAAAAGATATACCTTCTTAATAGAAGCTAATTTAGTTACAACCAATGCTCAGATCAGAATACTAGCTTTGAAAAATAATTGTTTAAGAAAAGCCTTTGACAACATTGGACCTAATATTGAAAGCCATCCTTGAGAAGAGAGTTGTGAGAGAGAATGAAGGAGAGAGCGAGAGGGAGAGAGAGAGAAAGGGGAGGGAGGGAGAAAATGGGTATACGGGTACAAAACGATTCTTTACCCAATTATTGCCCAAACGACGTTTTACTAATTATAACTAGCAAGAGCCTTCACAATGACTATGACATGGAACATAATTTAAGAAATGCTGGTGTTGACCTCTTAAATACTTGGCATGGGTATAATATGCTTATTGCTATCTGCTATTAACTGTGTAATGCTATTTTCAGGCTGGCTTCTTTAAAAGACAATATAAAACGATCCTGCAAGAAGAAAACAGAAGAGACAGTTGGAGTTATGTGAATAGCAAAAGTAATCCTGAGGATTAAAGACTCCTTTAAAGTGTAGAGAGCTCACAAACACACCGGGCTGCAGAAATTTAAGACAGTGTTTACAAGAAAGCATGAATTTTACTAAGGGTTCTTCCATCGACTTCCAGGACATAATGAAAGTGAAATCCTCAACCCAGGATTGTTCTCTGCAAGAAAATAACTTGCAAATGTAATATTCATCATGCAAAGATATTTCAGATCTCAGGTGGGTTGAAAAACACTAAAGCATTCAGTTTATTCAACCAGAATCCCTAGAAGACATGGTCAATGGGGTTGTATCTGAACAAATCTTGGAATTGAAATATCTTTCCTCTCAAAGAAATATTAGTTACCATCGTTGCTTGTCTTGGTAAAAACAAAAATCTACTGAATGGGCAATCTTTTTGAGATCTATTTGAAAACAAAGGTTCTTAAAAATGTCACAGAATATTTCAGAGAGCTACTTCCAACTATATGAAAGCGGATCATTATTGACAATAATAATTCATCCTCAAAGATGCTCATGAGTGCACAGCCCTGTGGGCTCCTTCACCAACCATTTAGTTACTGTTCTACAAACAATAGTGACCAGGAAGCGAACGTCAGAGCCAACGCGTAGTTTAAAAAGCTGCTTCAGCGTAGCCGTGGTGCGGTGCCTGTGGGTGTACATGTGTTTTAGAGTAATATATGTGTTGACGAAGGTAAAATCACTGGTCCTTCTACATCACGATGTTAACGAGCGGCTATTGTTGGGTGCTGTCAATTCATTTTAGATTTGAACCAACCAAATGTGCGAGAGAACGCCTTCTAGGGTTTTCCTCACTGTAATCTTTACAGAATAGATTACCAGGCCTTTTGACTGTGTACTCAGAAGATATTTTTATTTTAAATCAGCCTCAGATTTCTATGTTTATGTAAATAATACTTAAGGATTCTCTTTTATCTTCTGTAATAACAGATTACAAATGCTGCACTTCAGCTAATATTTGAAATAGAAATACACTGATATATATAATGCAGTATAAAAATTGTACTATGAAAATCACTAATGATTTTTTTAAACAAAGGACTGCAAACAATGCTTAGGAGCTAATGCTTCATACAAAGAATGTACTGTATAAAATCTGACTGTCCTCAAAAATTTAGAAAATCACAAGTATTTTTTTGGCTGGTACTCGTTCCCCTTCAAACACAAGCATTAAGTATATATTCATCAAGTCTATACAAATATTCTCCTTTGAAAGGAGAGAGGTAAAACACAGTTGACAAATTCAATTATAAATCAAAATATACTGATTTAGTTTATATACAGTGAATATAAATGTAGCATCAAAAGTTCCATGATATCTATGACAGCTAAAGTATTTTTTTACTGTGAATATTGTTGTAAGATTCTGTTTTATAATGAACATATCTCCTTCTGGAATTTAAATAATTTAAGTCACAACTTTTCCATTTACATAGAGTCGTTTTTATATTTTTTCATATACATGGTTCTGACGCACTGCGTGCACTAGGATGTAATTGCATTTGAATTGTTCCGTATCTATATGTGTATGTCTTAGTGATCTATTGCTGCTCCAACAGAAATACCACAGTATATAGCTTGAACAAACAGAAATGTATTCTATCACAGTTTAGGATGCTAGAATTTCAAGTTCAGAACACATCTGTAGGGGAAGGCTTTCTGTCTGTCAGCTCTGGAACAGGATTGAGATCTCTTCAACATTTGTGGGCCCAACCTCCCTTGAAGACTTCCATGCATCTTGTTATCCGTCTTCCGCTGTGTCTTTTTCTCAGCACAACGAGCCCAGGTTCAAAGAATCTCCTCCATCTGGCTCTTCTTTCTGGATGGTTCTAATGTCCTTCCTCCTCTGCACATCTCTCTCCAGCTATCTCTCCTCAAAGGTGATGTCGTCACTCCTCAGGAAAACTTCACTTACCTTGGATCAAGGTTGCGCCTAGAGTAAGGGTGTAGTATCCTACCGTAATTCCTTTAAAATGGATTGGGTGGTCACATCAGAGCACATCATGGGGTAGAGTATGGCATTACATAACTGCCACATTATAAAAAGAATGTGAGAAAGCACTGAGAATCATGGCCCAGTCAAGTTGACACACATTTTGGGAGGATACAATTCAATCCAGGCTGTTTCACCTTTTAAATCCACTGCCATTTCCCATGGTTTCTGAGATTGTAAATCTTTAGGAGAACAAACTAATCGTTATCCTGCTGAGCTGCTAGTGGGTTTATACTGATGGCCTTGAAGTTAGAAGCTCTATACTTTACCCAGTGCACTAGCAGGACTCCTTTTACCCTAAAAATCTGCCTCCTTCCCATATGCAAAAAACTCTCACCCCATCATATCGCCCAACAAGTATTAAATCAATAGCAAGTCCAAATTCTATCCTGGGTCAGAATTCTTATTCATTTATGAAATACAGAGTAAAAAGTACCTGCTTCCAAAGTACAATGGTGAAACAGTAAAGGTAGACACTACCGTTGCCCCCCTAAAAACACCCAATTCCCTGCCAGGGAGTCAGTGATGACTCATAGCGATCTACTGTGGGTTACGGGAGTAGAAAGCCCAGACTACTTCCCTTGGAGCTGCTGATGGTTTCAAACAGCCAATTATGTGGATCGCAGCTCAATGTATAACCTCGATGTAACCAAGGCTCCTAGTGCCATTGCAGATGGAAGAAAAGGGAAAAGGGAAGATAGTCCCCAAGCAAGTTAACACACCAGCAAAACAATGTACATGAGCTCTTCGGGCTCGAAAATAATCCTGTGTCCTCTGAGACGTTCTAGGCAATGGCAGTGCCCTCCAGACTCTGGCTATTAGCTCTGATCCCTGGAGGCTGGCTGGAGAACCTTCAGCGCCACCTTCCAGACCCACTGGGGTGGCAACCCTGTTCCTTTGGCATTGGGTGGCCCCATTATCTAACTGAGTGGTGACCCCACCCTTGGGTATGGCTGCCCTGCTCCCTCAACTTTGAACAGCAGGTCTAGCCCCATTCTTTTAGCCCTTGTGGCTGACACACCAGGGTCCCACACCCTGGAGCTGAGTGGAGACTCTGACTCAAAGGTAGGAGATGATAGCTCACCTTTTAAAATCTCAGAGCCTGTGACCTCACCCTTTGAAATGCCAGAGGTCATTGTGGCCCTACCCTTTGAAACTGAGACAGCTCTTTTCTGTTTCTTCCTTTTTCAGCATCTACTTCTTGGTTCCTAGCCTCTAGGTCCATTGGGTTTCACGGGCCAGGCCAGCCTCTGCCCTAGTTAGGCAAATGTTACAAAGTTCTTTGGTTCTACCTGTAAGTGCCCAGAGGTACCGCACTCCACAAGAAAGCCCCCAGCCCAAAGGCACTTGGTTATCTGGTTCTGAAGGTTGGCTACTGTGTCATCTTGTGTGATTCTCCTGGTGTTGTTACGACCGTTTCTCGGCCTCTCCTTTTCAACCTCTGCACCAGCTTCCCCCACTTCCTCCCCGCAATTGTCCATAATTCTAGCAGCAGTGTCTTCAAGGCAATCTAAGGTTTTCCCATTAAGCATCTTAAAACTCTTCCAACCTCTAACCATTACCAAGTTCCAAAACAATTTCTACATTGTAGGTATCTATTAGAGTAGCACCTCATTCCCTATATTAAATGCTGCCTTAGTTATCTAATAATGCTATAACACAACTACCATAGTGGGTAGCTTTAACACAGAGAAGCTTACTCTATCAAAACGTAGGAGGCAAGCAATCCAAATTCTGGGTAGGGAAAGGCTCGCTCTCTATTGGCAAGGTCCTTGCTTCCTTTCAACATCTGTGAGGCCAGCTCTCCCTGGAGGTCTCCCTAGGTTTGGGCATCAGTCTTCCTCTGAGTCCAGGAGGTTCTCAGCCCTGACTCCCTAGATCTAAAGGTAGGCTCTGCTTCTGGCTCTTGGTGGGGCTTAGGTCCCTCTTTCTATGCACACTTCTCTTTCTTCCATAAAAGAATGATGCAGGCCCCAGGGAAACCCCCAGTCCAGGAAGGCAGTTGCATCCACCCTAAGCCCTTTAAAATTGATTGGCTGATAATATCGGATCCTATCATGGGGGATGATTATAGTACTTAACTACTCAACCACTGGGGATCATGATCCCACCATGCTGACATGTATTTGGGGGAGGGGAGGGGAGAATATAATTCAATACATGACAAATGTATAATAAATTTGTGGACCTTTTAAAATAATCTCTTATTGAAAATGAAAGGGAGAGATATATTGGAGGGCAATCTTTACTGTAATGGAAAATATTTCCTTCTATAAAATCCATGCCAGCTGTTCCTCTTTAAAAGAAATTTTATTGAGCTGTAGTGAACATATACAAGTCACGTGTTCAATAATATCAAGACAGGTTGTACAATCATCGCACAATCCACTTTGGGAACTTTTCTTCTTCCTTGTCCTCCTTGATGTTGGCTCCCCCCTTCCCCTCCACATCTGTGCCCCAAGGCAATCATGAATCCAGCTATCCCAATTTCCCTATACAAATACGCATCCAAAACAAGGGTCAACATTAAGCAAGGAGACCTCTTTTTAGACTGCATAATCCATGTGAGTTGGTCTGTTCATAAGCCTTTGAGGAATGAGGAGTGAGTGTACAGATTTCTGGAAGCACTTGAGCAGTCAAATATATCTTACAGATTTTTTTAAATCAATTTCTTGGGGCTCATACAATTCATCACAATACATAGATCAATTGTGTAAAGCACATCTATACATTTGTTGCCCTCATTATTCCCAAAATTCGCTTTCCTCTTGGGTTCCCGGAATCAGCTCATTTTCCTTTTTTCCCCTCCCCTTCCCTTCCTCCTCCCCTGTCCCCCATGCACCCTTGATAATTTATAAATTATTATTGTATCTTATATTACACTGTCCGGCGTCTCCCTTCATGACAATCAACATGAAGCCTCTGTGTGGACCCATAGAAATAAATTTATAGAATATGTCGTATTTGACAGTAACACCCTTTTTAGTAAAAGTGGTTGTATGCCTCTATCATTAAAAGAAGCCAGGGTGATGTGGCGGTTAAGTTGCTGGACTGCTAACCAGTCTGGGGACTGGAGTCACCGGCTGCTTTGCAGGATAAGGATGCGGCGATCTGCTTCCCGGGATTACCGCCTTCGAAAGCCTGTGGGGCAGTTCTAGCCTGTCACTAGGAATCGGAATGGACTTGACAACGACGGGATCATAATTAAAAGCTAACTCATTCTTTCAGAAGAATGTATGGAAATGTTGATGAAGAATCAAGCTCAAGAAAAGATTCGATGTTGGAAGGATGAGGCCTGGGAGCAGTTAAATTTGGTTCTTTTCTGTAAGAGATGACAGTCTTTCAGCTGTATTCACTGAGTACAGTGAAAACATGTTATGCTTGCCCTACACCCATGTGATAGGTTTTCGGTGCCAACATGGCTCCCATAGGAACATGTGGGTGGGGTTTAGCCTGTCAATCAGGTCACAGTTTGATTGGCAACTGAGATAAATGGCTAAGGCCGGCCTCCCTTTCTTCCGGGAGGCGGGGCACACACTCTCTCTGCTTTCACCTTCCTGGTGACCAAGCACGCGGAGCCCGGCTGAGACCTGCAAGAGCTCTGAGATGCTTCCCCTGCCACTGGATCCACACGACTTTGCACTTATTGGCCCGTGATCTTCCTGCGTTTTGTATCATTGCATGTGCTGAGGAGGGATTTATGGACTATTATCAGAGTTATGAACTACTATCGGACTTATGGGCTTGATCTGGACTGGGCTGGGATGTTTTCTTAATATACCATGACTCTTTGCTATAAAACTCTTTCATATATATAAAATCACTGAATTTATTTCTCTAGCCAACCCACCCTAACACAACCATATTCTCAGGTGCAGAATGAGCACAGGTACTTGTTAGGCCAAATTCTGCCTAGTTAAAAAGATAATTCTTGTATAGTTTGAAATAAAATTTCTTAGAGACTTTCAGAATGTTTTTAAAGTGAAAAAAGCAAATGAGTTTTAAATTGTTTTAAAGATCATTTTATTGGGGGATCTTACAGCTCTTATAACAATGCATACGTCAATTGCATCAAGCATATTTGTGCATATGTTGCCATCATCATTTTCTACACATTTATTTTCCATTTCAGCTTCTCTTTTTTCCCTCCTTCCCCCACCCTCCCATCCTTGTGAACCCTTAATAAATTATAATTATTTTCATATCTTCCACCAACCGCTGTCTCCCTTCACCCATATTTCTGTTGTTCATCTTCCTTGGGGGAGGGGAGCTATGCGTTGATCATTGCAATTGGTTTCCCCTTCTTCTCTTCCTCCCCCCACATTCCCCCTACCCTAGTATCGCTACTCCAATTTCTGTGCTTGAGGGGTTTATCTGACCTGGATTCCGTGTGTTGTAAGCGCTTCTCTGTACCATTGTGCATGCTCTGGTCTAGCCAGAACTGAAAGGCAAGACTGGGGTCATGATAGTGGGGAGTGAGGAAGCCTCAAAGAACCAGAGGAATATTGTGTGTTTCATTGGTGCTGTACTGTGCCCTGGTTGACTGATCCCTTTCTTGTGACCCTTCTGTGAGAGGATGTCCTGTTGTCTATCGGTTTGGGGTCTCTGTTTGTCTATGGGTTTGTCTATGGATTTGGGGTCTCTGCTCTGACTGCCCTCATTCTCAACAATATCTTTTTGTAGTTGTTCTGGGTCTTCTGATGCCTGTTAGCTGATCCTGACACCTCATGATCACACAGGCTGGTATACTTCTTCCACGTGGGCTTGTTGCTTCTCTGCTAGATGGCCACTTGTTTAACTTCAAGCCTTCAGGAGCCCAGACACTAGCACCATCAGCTTTCTTCACCATATTTGCTTATGCACCCATTTTGTCTTCAGCGATAGTGTTGTGAAGGTGAGCATCACAGAATGCCAGGTTTTTAGAACAAAGTGCTATTGCCTTGTGGGAAGCCTTGAGCAGAGGCCCAAAGTCCATCCATTTCCTCAATGTATTGCCATTGAAATATATGTACATAGACCAATGCCTCTATTTTTATTACTTATCATATATAATCGAGTATAAGCTGAGTATATTTTCACCACATTAAAAAAATCATTTTATTAGGGGGTCAGCACATTTTTAATGCAGTTTTTGTGGTAAAATTAGGTGCCTTGGCTGATAAAGGGTAGGCTTATGCGTGAGTATATACAATAACACATTTACATAAGTATACACCTATGTTTATATCTCCATCCATAGCTCTGCTTCCTAGATCTTTCATCTGTTTCCTTTTACTTTCCTCCTGTGGAAGTTTTTAATTTTCATAAGCCATTTAGAAGCCCTGGTGGCGTAGTGATTGCACTTTGGGTTGTGATCCAGAAGGTTGGCAGTTTGAAACCACTGGACCTTTCCAGTCTGCAGGCGGAAGACAGGGCTTTCTACTCCCATAAACAGTTACAGTTTCATAAACTCACAGGGGCAGTTCTACCTCGTCCTGTAGGGTCACTGTGAGTCAGTGTCAACCCAATGGCAGTGAGCTGTTGTCACGCGGTCCCTGTGAAAGCTTATACGTGACTCCAGATCCATTTGCAGGCTCCTCACAAGGGCTCAGTCTTCACTGAGCTCCCTCCGAACCCTGACCAGGGACGTGAACAGTCACCCTCAGAAAAAGTGTATTGGAAAAGGCTTTATTTCCATGCTCCTGACCCACCAGGATGTGGCAGTCCCCCTGGGGACTTGCCTGAGTGCTTAATGGCGCTCATCCTAGGGTCATGGCTGCCTTGGACAATTTGGTGAATGATCACAATGTACGTATCCCAATCATGGCCCCGTTCCCACTCAGCTAATCTAATCCCATCTGTAACTATGATGTATTGATCTGCTGCCAAGAATACATTTGTAACACATTTCTGTGACTTCCCGTGTCATTTTCAAGGTCATGTATATCAGCCAACCGGTGGATACCATTATGATCTGGTGCTAATGGTCTCCCTCATTTGGACAATGGCTTTCTCTTGTCCTCCTCCATCTTGTTTATGACTTTTATCATTTTTTTTTCTCTAAAAATCACGACATACCACTTTTTGGCAAATAGACTAGGCACTGGAAATATATGGAACAATGTTTCTGTTTCAGCTTATATCACTAACTAGCTGTGTGACCTTGTAGTTTAACCACTATGGGGTAGTGATTGCATCAGTAAAACCAGAGCATACTTACACCATCACCTTGATCTCTTCTTACCAGTCTATAAGAAATTTAACAATAAAAGGACGGACTCAAATCTGGGTAAATGCAAGAATTTATATTGCTTCACTTTAGAATTACCTAGGTTAAATATTGATGCTTGTTACATTGTAACTACATGACTTACTTACTTTTAACATCAATACCGTGTTCTCCAAAACCAAATTTTGTTTTGATATATTTATTTTTATCTAGATTTCTTAAAGCTCTAGATTTGATTTTTAGTAGCATCAAAAATAGCTATTATAATACCTTAAAATACACTTCTATTAAGATATCTGTTTAAAGCGTGACTATATTCCTTCATATTAAAACTCTAGTTTTTACATTCTTTCACAAACAATTGCATGTTGCTTTGCCATCATTCATGTCTTCCACATCTCCACCATAAAGACTAATAAGTCTTGGGTGCAATCTGTAAAGAAAATAATAATATGCATCAATTATTATCCCATCGACCTATCATTCTGCACTTTTCCACATACGTGTACACATAGATAGAACAAATAATAAGGATGGCACAGAATGCCAACTATTACTCTAATGTGAACCCAAACCAGACAAGTCAACTAAGCATATGCTCTTGTAATCTAAAGCTGCAATCCAAAAAGAATCCCCCCCAAAATGAGAAAATGATCAATCCGCAGTAGTATTTACTGTAAGGCATTCTCCACCAATACCCTGGCTGTTGCTCTCCTTGTCTCGGCAAACATAATCCCCTGCTGCACACTCACATCTAGTGAGCCGCCTTGCACCCTTCTTGTACCAGGAAGTCTTGATTCTTGACAAGACCGAGTTCGCGTGTTTCTAAACCTGCCATTTGTTCCTGTTAAGTAACACAGTACATTTTTTTTCATGTAAAATATGTTGCATGCTTTGCAAAATTTTGATAGAAGCAAGTGCATGAACACAAAGCATGATAGTATTAATTAGCCACGAAACTGAAAGACTGAGGGTCAGGGGCTAATTATCACCACCTAGAAGAATTCATCACTCTGATATCTTCACAGAATTTAAATTATTAATCTTAATAGTAAAGAATTTTAAAAAATTAAATTCTTAATAATTTTAAACCAAAATTGAGATTGTAGCTATGTGTTAGCTATATATAGTATAAGAAGAAAGCTAATTAAGAATGTCAGAGACTCATCAATTTTTTTTAAATGGTAAAAATGCAAGGTTAAACTTTTTACTTATTTATTCAAGGCTACGCAGATATCTTTTCATGCTTCCCTGATTTAGTGGCTTTTAAGAAGGGCTATTAACCAGGCAACTGCCTACAGCGTGGGAGAAAAGTATGAGAGAAGCTTCCATTTTATTATGAGAGAGAGGTGTGTCTACTAATAGACAAACATGTTGAGGAAATAAGTAGACTTACTTTACATGGACCTCAGATGCTACTTCCATTAAATCACCATCTACATTCCACGGGAAACTGTTTTCCAGACCAATTTCATGAGGCTCATGTCTCTCGTCTGAATTGTGTCCATTCAAATTATTCTTTTGTTGAACTTTAACTTCTTCAACAGTGTAAGTCTCAACAAATGGAAAATTGAACTAAAGAAAACAAATGCAAATAATCATGCTAGCACCTACCTGTAACTGCTAACACAAATCAAAGAATTGGGTCCACCTTCTCTTGCAGCTCAATATGGGCATTCATACGGACATATTCTTCTATCTCTGAAACTCTTGTTATGACTAGGGATCCAGCTTTTAGAGGAAGGCACCCTGTTTTGTTTTGCTTTGTGTTTTTGTGTTTGGTTTTCTGGAGGTTTCCTGACTCACTTAATAGCTAGCAGCTGGACATCTTCTTTCTGGACAAATAGTACATGTTTATGAAAAATTACATATGACAATTACATTATAGACCTTTCAACCAAAGACTGGATCTTTAGCCTGAATCTGTAATGCTCATCTATTGACACAGAAGACTGCTCTAATATACTGCCTAAATTATTAATTTAGCTTATCTGAAGAAAAGTAAACTCTAAAATAAGTCTTACTCTTAGAATTTAATTGGGAAGAATGTAGGTCTAAATGTACCAACATGAAATGGAAAATGTATCCTTTCATGAAATAAAAGAGGAAGTTGGTCAAGTTGATTTTTATAAGAGTCTGTCTGCTTCATTCCCACTGTAAGGACAGATATAAGATGTCTGTGTGTATTTACTGACCACTATAGAATGGTACACCCTAACATTCAAATTTAATTTTTCTTTTGGTTTGCCTTAGATTAAGTGTTCTCTGAAATCACTAAGAAAGGGTAGACAAATAACATTTTAAGGGAAAGTACACAAGAAGCATGCAGAGTGGCGTGGGAGGAATGTTGGTGTCAGAATTGGTGAAGAAGGGGAAAGGATGGAGGGATGTCTGATCCCTACCTCATGGCTATGGAAGCCAGATGATGTCAGATATGTCACCCCTCCAAGCCTCTTACCTCAACCGAAGGCTATTAGCACAATATGGAATTATCTTATGTCAGTTTTAACAGTATATTGTGAACTCATGCTTACTCAAATTATTATATTCTATACTATCAGCTAGTTTTATGGATTATTGATAGACGTTCATAAATCTATTACATCATATCGCCAATTGTTAGGCCAGTACTTCACAAAATGAATCTCCACTGCTCTGGGCACAATGCATATTTCCTCATTGTGAAGCTACAGACTTTGCTAGATGGAACTTTGGAGAGTACCAGCTTACTAAGTACCACGTGAGGGGTGCGGGGAAGAGAAGTCAATGACCAGGGTTGCGATGCACACAAGGGCCGTGATAGCGCCGCCACAGAACACACTGGGGGAAGGGAGAAGAGGTCCGTAGGCTCAGGGTGGGAAAGCTTAGGATCACAAGAGAAGCAACCTGCAGGCAAAGGGAAGGGGTTCTGGGAAGCAGGACAACATGAGCCAAACTACACAGGTAAGGGAAGAACTGTATTTGTCAAACAACTACAAAATTCCTCCTGAGCAGCACACAGGGAATCTCGTAAGAGGTGAGGCTGGGAGGCTGAGACGTAGGGAGCGGCAAGGAGAGTATAAGCCGCCCGTGTTCCATGCTGGGGAATTCAGAATTGACTGAAGACAAGGAAAAAGTCATTAAAGTACTCACCAGGGGAAAGAGAAATAAGGTACGTGTTTTAGAGAAATCCTTTCGGGGGTGGGGGTGGAGGGGTACGTGAAAAACAAGGTCAGAGAAAGGGAGGCAAAGAGGGGGGACTTTTGTCAGCTGTCTCTTCTTTAGGTGCCCCAGTGGAGTAGTGGTTATGCGAGGTTAGTGGGAGAAAGATGGAGCTTTCTACTCCTGAAAGGGGAACCGATGACAACGATCTACATATAACTCCCTCCCTGGGGGACAGACAACAGAAAAGCAGGTGTAGGGAGGTGTCGGGCAGTGTAAGACACAACAAAGAGTAATCATTTATGAATTATCAAGAGTTCATGATCTCTTCTTAAGAACGTAGACTTAAGGAAAGGGGGGCTGTTTCTCTTCAGTTGGCTGTTCAATAAATCATCAGAGTATCGGTTCATCAAGTCTTTCTAGGGAACTTAGAAGTGATGAAGAGGAAAGAGAAGCCTGGTGATGGTCAAGCATTCTATGTGCAAGGTTTTGTGACTAGTTATTGACCGTTTATTCTCCTCCCATTTGTTCTCATCAAACTGTCCGCGAACGATTTCACAGCTTCCAGGATGTGTGAAGCATCGAGATTTATGAATCTGGGTCCGTACTTTCAAGATGCACAATTTTAAAAATTCACATCCCCCCCCCCCCACGTCAGTTTCTTAGTACCTAAATTTGTCTGTCAACAATGTGATTATGACTAGTTACTCTTTCCTCTTAAAATTGCAAATCCCAGAAATGAAAACCCCAGTATTTGACTGTATCAGTACTCGACGTAATTGGATTTCGACACCAAATGTAGAGAAAATTTTGCATCGGAGCTTGAACAAAACATCGGAATCCGACCCGCCACACGTGATTCTTGTAAACGAAAGCAGTTTGGGTTTCGGTCACGGGGCGTTCCTTGGCGTTGTTAGTGCGCGGTGTTTAAACCGTTTGCAGCTGTGTTCCAAGCGTTCTGCCATAACTTTTTTAGTTTTTGTGGCCTTTTGTGCTGCTTTTAGATAAAAAACATGGTCCTAAGAAAGAGTTTTTGAAAAGAATCATAATAATAAGGAACCGGTTAACCGTCTCATCGATATTGTTGATGATAATTTAGTAAACCCTTTTAGAAAACAGTTAAGGAAATGCCAACAGCAGAGCACATTCCACAGGTTTGTTTTTTTTTTAGAAAAAGCCAGCCAGGTCCTAGTGAAAAAAGGCAAATAAGGGGGAAAAGCTGAAAATCAGCTGCCAGTTGATTTCATGGAAGGGGATTCTACTTCCAAACAAGGCCTCTCTCTCCACACCTCCTCTCCGTATCCGTGTCCACGGACTCAGATCCTCATCCAGCTCAAGGTAAGGGCCATACTGTAGTTGCTAAAAAGTTTTTAAATGTTGTGTTTCTTTTTAAAATTATATTCTTTTACTCTGAACTTATTTACTTGGAAATTTCTGTGTAAGGTTTTGTATAAAAAGGCAAGGGTAGGGTAAAAACTTGGTGGTCGAGAATGGCTTAATGGGAAAAATTGATTCGGAACTCGACTGCATCGCATCTCCACACTCCTTCTAGAACGGATTAGCGTGGAGGTCTGGGGTTCTACTGTATAAATATACCTATACATCCATAAACATCACAGCACATTCTAATTTTTGAATAAAAGACATAATGTCTGCAGAAAGATGGTGCTCTTTGTGAATATACAGCCACACATTGATCTCACTGAATGAGCACTGGCAGATTGGCAAACAAGTGTCAGCAGAGGCTACGGACTGTGACTTTGCAGAGAGCTTGGCGCTGTAAAATCAAGAAAGCTAAGCATCTCAAACTTGATTCCTTTTTATTCTGATAAACAGCCTGTATTACTAATTTACTAAATATTTCAGTATAACATTGCATTTTTAAATCGTCTTTTTGTACACAGAAAATGGAAATAACCACCACACTATAGTTCAAAAGAGACCAAGCTATATTAATACTGGGGAATATTTTTCAAAATGGAGATAAAACACAGATTGGAAAAATAAGAAACGAATGTACTCAGGAAAATGGAGTCGTCTTCAGAAGGGCTGGAGGTCTACTTTTGCAGCCATCTCTCCCTTCATGATTACTAGGCTGCCGTTTTGTAGCCAGAAGAACTTACAATACCTGATTCTGTACACTGGCATATCTTTTTAGATGTTTGACAAATGCTGGTCGAGAAGTGTTTCGTACAATGATCAGGGCCATACTTCCGTTATTTAATCTGAAATAAAATGTTTATAGGCAAACATTAGAAGCTAATTGGGGGGCGAAGGTAATTAATAGACTGCATAAGTTTTAACTACATCATTCTTAGAAGAAGAAAAGAGAAGTATTTCCTAGACATTTGAGTCAGGACAGATAAATCATTATGCATTAAATGCACCTAAAACTCTTAAACCCTCTCTGGCTGTCTTATTTTACAAATGACACAGCCTTTTAAATCAGTTTTGTTAAACTACTGGCTTCCTGTTCAACAAGCTGTTACATTATGGGGCTTAAAGAGAAGAAAAACAAATTATTCTACGCCTTCCTCACACATAAATGTAAAGTTTAAAATCCATGTAAACATTGGCTAATTAAAACAGTTAATACATATAAGTAGTATAAAGGATAATTGAATTCTTTCTAAATCTAAAGTGTGACTTAAATATTATTTATGGGAACAAGGTCTAAGTGACATTAGAAATGAAATACATCAAAGTGACCGTTGAATGGATGAAATTGAGTGGGCAAATGTTGCCACAGCATGTTTAATTAAATAGCAGAGCATTTTAATCTCACCACTCTTCTGTCTAATATGAGACTAGAGAGCTAGAGGTGTGCCTTTGCACCAAAAAAGCTACTTGCAAATGCATCTGGCATGAGAATGAAATTTGCAAAAATACAAGCAAATGATTTCTAGACCTAGTTCAGTGAAAATAGGCGGTTGTTCCAAGAATAACAACAATGCCATTACAAAGGAGCTCTTGAAATGTTGTTGAAGCTCAGGTTAGAACTGGAAGAGCCGTTGGAGATGGGCTCGTCATATACTCATTTGGTGCCGAAGGGAAAGCAAACCCCGAGGTTAAGTGATGTGCTCCATCGGGCACAGAGAAAAACAAAGGGGATTCCTAGAGCCTGAGCTCATCCTCCCCAGGGATGAGTGCGCCAGTTATCCATCATGCCACAGCTTCCCAGTCTAAAAGAAATAGCCCGGGAATGTTCAGAGAACTGCTACATGTGTTCCTCATTTCATAATGGGTTCGTTGTCATTCATAAGCCTGCAAAACTCTCATGTCTATCTTTCAATACTTACCAATAGAAACACAGCCAGTGTGCCTGGCACCCTGATAGCTTTATATCTATTATTAACTCATTTAATTTTCAAATATTTAGAATCTAAGAACAAATTTATTAGCTCCCATTAACAATTTAGGAAATCCTAGTGATTCAGCAATTAATGCATTCAGCTGGTTTAGGTTCAAACCCACCAGCTGCTCCAAAGGAAAATGCGATGGCGGTCTACTTCCTGGAAGGTTTACAGCCTTGAAAATCCTGTGTTGTTCAAGTTCTCAGAGAGCCACTATGAGCAGAGTGTTTGGGGTATTAGCAATTTGCATTGAGAAATTTTAAAGTAAATTGTACTTTATTGGGAAAAGAATAGTTAACAGTTGAACTTCCCGTGCAATTACCTCGAATCATTCAGAAGCTACAGCTTTGAAAATCTCTGGTCAACCAGGGCCCACCTTTTGGGAAAATATGGCTATGTTGGATTATAATCCATGGAAGAAATCCATAACCAGCTGGCAATCAAGGAGCCCTGGGGGTCAATAGGTAACACTTCGCTTCTAACTGAAAGGCCAGAAGTTGGGGCCCCCCAACTGCTCTGTGGGAAAAGGTGTGGCCGTTGGTTTGCATCATGATTAACAGCCCTGGACTCCCCATGGGGCCGGTCTGCTGTGGCATGGGGTCCTTATGAGCTGGAACAGCTCGAGGGCAGTGAGTTTGATGCAAGGGGTTTAATCACCATTCTCTGGAGAGGAAAAAACTCATGAACGCATCAATACTCATTGTTGGGAGAACAACAGTTGAATTTCGGCCCACGTACAATCTTATGGAGTGTCCCTGAAAGAGGTGGGAATCAACTTCTGCAGTAAATGAAGGATTCCCACCATGAAGGTCCTTGAGCAGGCTCCAGAGCCTGAAAGGCAGCAGGATGGATAAGCATTGCTTCAAATGATGTACAATAGAGCTCCTCCAATCAGAAATGTCATGTTCGTGTGGGGTTTCTTCTTAACGGGTTGGGAATTATAGAGGGACACATACAGCTAGGTAAAACCATTGAGAATGTGCTGAGGAAAACAGGAGGCTCAATTTCTCGGTCACTCAAGCTATAGGAAAAATCCCCATTCCGAGTTTCAATACTAGAAGTCATTAGTAAAGACCTTGACATCTGAAGTTTTCATATCAAAGTCTGTACTCTCTCATTTTCTTCTTTTAAATTTGGCTATTATCTTGTTTAGTGCCATATATCAATTGCCTAAGAATATATCTTAAAGCAAATCTCTCTGGCCAGCTGTTTATCATCCTGGTTAATAATTTAACATAATTTTGCCTGGTGGCATGGTGGTTCCTTGTTGAGCTGCTAACGCAGGTGAGCAGTGTAGAACTACCAGCCCTTCTGAGGGAGACAGAGGCTGCTTTCTACCCTTGTAAAGGGCTAAAGTCTCAGAAACGCACAGGGACAGGTCTGCCCTGACCCACAGGGCACTCTGGACAGGCATCGACGCAGAAGCCCTGGGTTTCGTTAGTGTGTTGGTTTTTTGTATTTCACAATATTCTAGGTTCTACAGGATTAGAAAGAGGCCAATAATGGACAGCGATTTAAAAAGAATGTGTAAGAGGGAGAATATCTCCCCCTGGTCTAGAAAATAATATATAAAATATCTATAATTAACTCCATTGCAAATACAGATAGGTGGTTTGTAAGCATCACAGAAGTGAGATGTTTTATTTGACTAAAAGTTTCAAAAATACACACCTACGTGGTTTTTATTCAAAGGGCACATTTATGCTTGCACTGAAATTGGATAACGGACATTTATAAGAAATGCTACCGTTTAATACAATGTTCTAACAAATGCCAATTAAGAAAACAAACAAGTAAATATAAATAAGGCAAGCCTGCAAAATAGGTATGAAATAGCAAAATGATGTCAATGAAATCAAAGGTGTTTGAGTCTCAGTGATGGCAGTAAATCAGACCATTTTCCAGGTTAATGCTTGTTCTAAGCCTACACTAATGACAAATCCCTTAGAGTCTTGATGATTATAAAGTTAAGAGAACCCATCTCTTATATGAGTCTAGCTCTCCAAGATTGCATAAGTATCGTAGGAAAAACCACTATGATTTTATAACAAAATAAACCCCAAAAATGCTTACTCACCTGGTGTTGGGTGCCAAGCCTCTTGGTGCCACTGAACACAGGCAAGGGATTGCCATGATGCTGACATTCAGGATCTGACCCCGGGTCACTTGCCACTCCTCACCATCACCTACAGGTCACGGAAGTGGTATGTTACTCTCTCACCAGCGCTGCCTTAACGCTCCAGGGGATGATCTTGAACTCACCAGATTTAGAAGATCCCTGGGCCTTCCTAAAAATAAGACACAAAACAAAGAAACAACCACATGACACACATGCACAAAACAGTTTCTATTAAATATGAAGAAATTCAAGAGATCATCGTTACATGTATTAAATATTATCTTAGGTTCACTACATTAGACAAGTGAAAATTAGACGTGTGAGCAATTCTATTCTTTTCAATAGTGTAATGTGTTGATACATGTAAGAGTAAAATTATATTTAAAAGGTCAATGTTCTCCTATTTCTTTCGAGACTGGAGCCCTTCCTTCAATGAAACGCTATTCCGTTAGCATCGCCTGTTCTTTCGGATGCCAGCTTGTTAATTCCTCTGGGAAATCTTCCCACAGAATGATGAGGACAAATCTTCCTGTAAAGACTGTCTTGAAGTCCATGCTCTCCATAGTCCAGCACAAGTACAATCGGCTCTGACTAATGTTTGCATTCACACTGGCTACATGTGAATTAGCGAGCCGACCCTCACACAATTGTGTTCCACAATTTCTTTATCAGAGGCCCTAAGCACAAGTATGACAAATTGTGTCAACACGTTTTATGCTTTAAAAAAAAAAGAATACTTCTAGATGTCTATGTAATTCTGAATTTTTCACCTACCTGTCTTGTAAATCCTGAGAGGTTTTAAGTGGTAAAAATGCTATTTCACAGTCCTCTGGCCTAAAATAGAGTGAGGTACGTTATTTGTTGTCATGCACTCTGGGATACAGCATATTTTAAAAACAAACAAACAAACAAACAAAAACTTACTTTAATTTTGCCAGAGCCTTGATGACAGCAAAATCTCTCCGTTGGTTAGGAGACATCCATCGATGTTTTTCCGCCAGAGCCAAAGTTCTCCCACCAAAGCCAAACATGGCGGAGAATCCAAATCGAAGAAGCCTGCCAGTGGTGCTGAAGGTACAGACATCAACGGGCTGTATGTGCCCTTGAATGTTACCAGCCAGGCAGCCAAGGAGTGCAGTAGAACCATTCATCAAAACAGTAAAGCATAGGAGAGCATATTTATTTACTTGTAGATCTCTAGCGACTGCGCACCATGATGAATATGCTCGCTACCACTTCATTTCTCATTGCCTACCACTACTGCAATCACCATTTATAACTTTCTCAAGGTCTTAAGTGGGGAAACGAAAAGAAACAAATTTTGCAGCTTATTGCTATTTCACATAAAACATTGTTACAGGAGTACATGGGAAATATATTTACAAAGTGCATTTTGTTTCACAGGTTTGCTTTGCATTTATCTGAGCGTATATGCTCTCCATCAATTGGGATGGATAAATGATCTAATGGATTCATACAAGAGAGAGATTTTTTCACCGTGGCATTTGTTCAACAGCATAATGCCAGTCTTAGGGCCAGGGTAGTGTCAAACAGCAGTAGCTGATACATTTAAATTGTACATGTGGACTTTCTTGATTTGCTCATAAAATTGTGGGTTTTTTGACCATCCAAACAGGGTAGCTTTTTTGGGGGGGTGAGGCATTTCTTTGCTTTGAGAGACAGAGAACCTGTTTTTCCTTAGACAAGTCTCACAGAAATAAAATGTCTTTTCTTATAAAACTAAAAGCACCCCTATAAAAGTGTCACGTATTGGGAAGAAGCCTTACCCAGGATAATGTGCAAAGCTGCAGTTACCACATGAGGGACTCCATGGAGAGAGTGGGCCAGAACATTAGTAGAACCTGTCAAATTGAGGTGAAACATGGATAATCAATACATTTGCCAGTGACTTATTGTATGTAGTTGTCACCATTTAATATTCTGATGAAAAATGAATGGAAGTTTTCAGGAAAAGGGTAGAGTCAGGGATTGCCATTTTCATTATAAACCCAGCAGTATTGGACTATACAGGTAGTCAGTGCTAGACATTTAATAAATAAGAATTAAACCTGGAAGCAGATGGAGAACCTGTGGGGAGCATGACTTGCATATGAGAAACCCCGACGAACCCTCAGCACAGAGCTGCACAAGTAGGAACGGTTAAGAAACTGTAAGAAATTCTAACTATCCTAACAAATTAAGCTGACAGTTAATCCAGAATTAAACCCTTATGCTAAGGAAATTTATTCATTGATCTCAATGTACCAGTTGATCTCAAGATGGACCGAATGCTTTCCAGCTCCCAGCATTCACACTGATAGGATCCAGGGGCCTGTAACAAACTAAAAGTCTCTACACGAGCTTCCCTACCTACTCCTTCCCTGCCTCCACGTCTAGTCCCGAAGCAGCTTCCTGGAATCTGAGATTGATTCCTTCAACTTATACTATCGGCACCTTTAGTGTCTCTTCAGATAAAAATTGTTGGCATTTTTCTTTAGTTCCCAAAATTATATAGGTTCTCCATTGGTCAAGGTTTCCTGGGAATGGGGCAGCTAAAGTTCATAAATAGGACAGCTAGCCTCCAGGATAAATGTTAACTCGGAAGTTTTTATCATCACGTCTTGAAATTCATTTTTATTTAAAGGCTGCTCATGGTCCCCTGAGTCCTCAGGGCAGCCATCAAAGACGTAAGATCCCTGACCCCACTCCATGCCTACCAACTCCTGGGTGGCACAGAGCTTCACTGTGCTTGACTAACCCAAAGATTGGAGGTTTGAGTCCATCTAGAGGCCCTTTGGAAGAAAAGCTTGGTAGTCCACTTCCAAAAATCAGCCACTGAAATCCTATGGCGCGCCCACGGTCAGCCGGAGCCAGGCCTGACTTGCCAACCACCAGTTGGTACCCCATACTCAGTAAGTTGGCACCACTCTAATGCAGGCATCTACAGCATTCTCTGGCTGATTAAGCTCATAACACGTCTTAAAACCACTCACCTAAACTCGTCGTTCATATACATCAACATTTATGAAAATAAAAATGGATAAATGAGCCTATTCTCTCACTTCACATCCAGGTTGAAAAATATGTGTGCATGTGTGCTTTTCCAAAGCCTTGCCAACTACACTGGGACTGGGTGATAGAGAAGGGGAAATGCAATCTAGGAGAATGGAGTGCTATGAAGCAGTCTCCTTTTCACTTACAGAATGAAATTGAGCCTGGGTCCGAAGTTTCTAATGGTCACCTAATAGGTATCAGTCATTGAGATATACAGAGAACTACATGTAATAGGGTCTGTATCCTCAATGAGCTGTTTCTGCTTCTTTGTTATGACAATTTTCAGATATTCACAAAAGCAAGGAGAGTGTTAGAGCAGCTTCCATGTACCTGTAACCCAGCTTCTATAATGATCGATTTCTGCCATCTTGTTTATCAATTCATCCACCATTTTCCTAAAATATTTTCAAATACTTGATATCATATCACTTTGTTTCTAAGTATTTCAGTTTATTTGTAGTAGATAAGCGCTGTTTTTAAAAATATCAAAATACTATTGCCGTTCCCTTGAACATGAAACATTATCACCGAAATAAGCATGTCGGCATTATGGCAATCCCTTGCCTGTGTTCAGTGGCACCAAGAGGCTTGGCACCCAATACCAGGTTAGTAAGCATTTTTTGGGTTTATTTTGTTATAAAATCATAGTGGTTTTTCCTACAATACTTATGCAACTCTTGGAGAGCTAGACTCAACAAGTCCTTTCCGGTTGGTTTGTTTTAATTAGAATTCACACAAGTTACCTATTACACTCTATTAACATTTATAGTCTTTTAAAAACTGATTACAGTTCCTGTTCCATTTTTTTTATTAAATAGTTTTATTGGTATATGCCTCACATATCACCCAAGTTAATCATTCGATTATATTAAGATTTGTGCAATCATCACCATGATATCAGAGCATTTTCTGCTTGTACTCATTGTACATCATCATTCCAGTTTCTGTCTACGGATCTACCTATCCTGGATTTCATATACAGAAAATCACACAAAACACAATCATTGAAAATACCATGGCTGGGGTCAGGCACACCTTGGCCCCCAAATAACCTGCTTTTCAACAGTTCACAGAGGTTTGTGCCTTCGATGTGTCCCTTGCAATGTGTCTTTTGATCCCTTGACTGCTGCTTCCTTGAGCCTCGATTGTGAGTCCCAGCAAGACTAAAATCCTGACAATTTCCATCATTTCTCCATCTGTCATGATGCATCCTACTGGTTCCATTGTGCAGATGGTGTCGTCTTTACATTGAATTGTGATTCATCCTGGGTCTTCACCAGCAAGTGCCCCAAGTCCTACTCACTTCCAGGAAGCAAGGGGGTGTCATCTTAGGAACGCAGGTTGTTAATAAGCTTCCTCCACTCCTGATGCAGAATTCTTCTACACAGAATCCACCTTCTCTGAGTGAAGGTAGTCAGTCGCAAAGGGACAGCTATTGCATGAGCCCACTCTCATAAGAATAAACACCACGACATAAGAAGAAGCCTCCTGCTCTTCCAATCTGGTCTCCCAAGCAGAGAGATAGGGAACCTGCCTAGGGTGCATGAATCATGTCTGACTCCCTTTACACATGTACACACACGAGTCATGTATGACTCCTTTGTACATGTACATACATGAATCATGTATGACCCCCTTTTACATCTTAGAACCACTTCAACAGAGGAGACCTCACTTCAGCTGGGGTCAGCTTTTCAAGATGAGGGAGAGGGAAAAGATCATCAGTCATTACCATAAAACATTGTGTAAAGGTCACCCCGAACAGATAGACACTCCCACAGGTGTGTGATAAGCAAACCTTACTGGAGATTCAAGATGCCCAGGGGAGAGTATATATGGCTGCTTTTTGGGTAGTATTAGGGATTCCCCTCTCGGCAAACTTCTCTCACCTTTTATCTCTACTAACTTTTCCTGCCTTTGATCTTTGCTAACTCCTCTCTCCTTCCATTTATCATAAGATTAAAGCTGCCACAGGCCCCACCCCAGGGCAGTACCAGGAAAGAGGAGAGTGCCGGGCTTGGCAGTGCTCCAGTGTATTGTACACTGGGTTATTTTGAGTTAGAACTGACTTGATGGCACCTTACAACAAAATTCAAAATTAAGAACCATCATGAGGATGGTGCAGGAGTTTCCATTCATAGCAACCTTAAATACAACAGAATGAATCCTTTTACAATGGATTGTCTGATTACACCATGGGGGCATTGCATACCTGTCTGATTACATCAGTATATAGCTGTCAATCCAATTATAGCTCAGGCAAGTAGACACAAATTTTGGAAGGACATAATTCGACCCATAACACCCTGACCTGGTCAATCAACAGCATTCCAATGTAGAACAAGAAGCCAAGGTACCTGAGTTAATTTTGACTCATAATAGCAAACTTATGTGTGCACAGTTTCCAATGGCTGATGTTTAGTTAGTAATTAAAAGGGTCAACCGTTTTCTCCACCTAAGCACACTCTCCAATGTTGGCAACGGCAGAATAACGTAACTGGTTCAACTTGTGTCACTTTGAACTGATATGTGCTTGCATTACTCATTAAGAGAGTAATACTCATTTAGATAGAGGCACCTCAGCCTCTATAAAATTAAACTCATTAAAATAACCATCATTATCTTTGAATAGCTCTCATTATTAGAGATTTTTAGATCTCTAATAGCATAAATGCAAAGAAAAGTAAAGTCCCCTTATTCGGTGGGTAAGCGCTCATTGTGGGGTTCACTACAGACATCTATGGAAACGATGCTCTGATTCTTGTTGCTCAGAGCATGGCCTAAGTCAACAGCCTTCAGTCCTGACCTGGACCTGGTTAAAATGCTAAATTTCAGTCCCCACTCCAGACCCACTGAACCTGGTCTCCTCGCATTCTGTATCATCACACATTTTGAGCGGCATTCCTCCAGAACAGCATGCTGGTCCATGAATCAGCAGCAACAACACCTGTGTGAGTTAAAAATACAAGTTCATGGATCCCAGCTCCAATCTACAGAATGTCTGGAAGTATGGAGGACCAGCTGTCTTAATATGCTCTTAAGATGATTCTGCGTTGCCCTAACATTTGATAACATGTACTCCAGAAACCTGTTATTTGGTGGATTTTACCTAGACATTGATTTCTCAGGCCTTTTCAATTACCCTTTGACCCTTTGAAGCCTGCCCTTTGGCTGTCTAATTGGTAATTCATCTGGGATGGGTGGGAAAAAGTGAGGAAACAAATCAACCTATTTTGCTTCCCAAACAGATTTATGGTAAAGGTTTGGGTAGAGGCCACATAATTAGAGTGAGATATTCAGGATTACCGATAGATTACAGTACTGCATGGGACATAGCTCTTCCATTACCATAGTTAATTAAGATGGGACTATAAAAGTGTTCCTCTGGAAGGCTATTAAAAACACATAATGTGAAGTTGTCATGTATAATAATGACACATATCAGGACTCAAGAACATAAAGATCATTTTTTTTTAATATAAAGAGCATTCATTCTCTGTGAGTTTGAAGTATGCTGAGTACAACCAAGTCAAACCCTTTTCAGAACGCTAGGGCACCCTACTCAGGGTCTCCTGAATCCTGCAGATCTCAGCAGTGAGGAGAGGCAGGGGCACGAGTCAGAAATAGTGTTTCCGTCATCTTTTACTCTGATTAATCTGCACCTTAGACCTAAAACACAGTTTCTTTTATATGATAAAGAGAGTAATGAAAGATCACAGGACAAAAACCTGATGCCATTGGCTCATTTCCGACTCAAAGAGGCCCTGTGCCTTCTGAGACGCTTTAGGGGTATAGAAGGTCTGTTTGAAAAGACAGCCCAGTGGGTAGCCACTTTGTTGCTGGGGCGCTCTAAAACGATAACATTGTTGTTGACAGTGACCTTTGAGTCAATTCTGACCCGTGTGGTCTCTTGGGTGTCATTGTCGACCTGTGCAATATAAGGTTTTCAAGGCCATGACCTTGCCCATGCAGATGGACAAACCTTTCTTAAGACCAAATCACCTCGAAGTATATTCGATCCACCCAGCTTTCGGAAAGTAGCCAAAAGCTTAGCTGTTTTTACCACCCAGGGGCTCTCGCAAAACTAAGGCTCGCCCTCTACTATTATTTGGATCAGCTGAGAAATGGATCCCATTTTGTACCGGGGAACTCTAATTGAAACGACGCCCACAAAAGTGCGGCTCACATAAAACACAACCGTGTAGCTGGCGACACTGACACAGAGCTATCAAGGTTCTACCTCAAGGTAAACATTTTAATGAGCCAGAAAAAGTTATTTTTCTTAACACACCCAACTCCTTTGTCCACCTCTGTCTCCTCCGATCTGCTAAAGTGTGCTGCATACAAAGAGGAAGGGTAGTGGGAACAGCTCGTGTAAGGCATGACATTTGAAGGCACCAGGCAGCTTCGATGGAAGCAAAAAAGAAGTGGGGAAAATTGTCCTTGGAAGTGTGAGCACTTCTGCAGAACAATTAACTTAATTAACCAGATGCCATGAATATTCATAAGGCTGTTAATGTCTCCCGCATCCAAACAGATAAATGTGATGTAATGACTTCCTAGTCAAGCATAGCTAAAATTCTCATGAAAACTGCACCTACACTTTGGTTCTTTGCCTGAAATATCATAGAAATTAAACAGTCCCTCAGCAATATTTTATTGTCTTCAAATTAATTGGAAAGCATGAATTTATTTATGTGAACGCTATAGGAATATATGGTTCACAAACATCAGTATGTGGAGTGTGCCTTGTTTTACAACTAGATTGCTCTTTTTATTTTTATGTCCTCTCAGGTTGCTATTTCCACCATCTTCCTCCCCATTCCCGCTAATCCCAATCTCCCAGTATAGTTCCTTAGCACCAGTTGCCATAGCAACAAACACCATCACTAATGGCCAGCAGTTCAAATACAGCCTTCCCTACATCTGATCCATTTGAATCTGACCATAATGCAGCAGCGTAGTCTGTTGGCTCAGTGGAGTCATTTACTGAACAGTCCCTCTGGGCGTCTCTCTCCAGGAGGCAAATGGCTTCAGAGGTTGGTGGTTTCCTTGTGTTCAAAGCTGGGAAACTTCCTGCCTGGCCAAGAGGAGCATAGAGACCTCTTCCTACTAAATACTTCCTGTCTGCGATCCCTTTTTCCAAATGGGTGGAACCAGTGCATTGGGACAATTACCAGAGTTAGGGTATTAGGCTAAGTATTGTAAACACAAAGCCTTAAAAGTGGCATTTCTACAAGTATCCAAAGTGCATGTAGAATGTTCTCAAAATCAGAAGCATAGGCACCAGTCTTTGCGGTCAGCTACCCATGCATAGCGAATGTGTACCTAAAGGACACTCATCTTTCCCCTTGGATTCGTAAAAGAGAAACTGTGACCGTACAACTAGTTTGCATGGAAAGAAATGTTGGAAAGATTCTACCCTCACTGTAAGTGCTTCTAAAATGGCACAAAAAGATAAAAGTGCTGCCCAAAATCATTCTCTCTCTCTCCCTCCTTCCCTCCCTCCCTCTCTCTCTCTCATTAGTTATTTTGCTGTCTCTACTAGAGGTTATTATAGGTGTTTTTCGTGTCTTTTAAAATGATCACGATATGGCCTCCTGCCCTTTTCTCCTTTCACAGTCTTGATTGGATGCAAGGCTTTATTCTCTAAATGCGCATGTGGATATCTTTATCCCCTAAAAACACAACTGCTCTTTGTCTGTTTAATAATAGCCAATATATTAACTCCATACTGGTTGGTGAAATTATTTTTGGATTATATCAAATGGATAGAATGTTGTTGTTTTTCAAGTAGGGGAATTATTTTCTATTTTCATAGGAAATATTTTTCTGCTCTTCCTTCCTTTATAGACAACAAGGTGTGTAGTGTTTTAAAAATGGAAAAGGGCCCATTTTTACCACTATTGCTTATTTAAATAATAATTTGGACGGCTCACTTGTATAACATAATAAATTTGAGAGAAATCCATTCTTCATTTCTGACCACACTGTTGCTCGATTCTCCCCGCTCTCTTCTCTAGTTCTCCAGCCTGCTTCCCATACCCATTGTGCAGCGTTCAGTCAAATGGAACGTCCTAGAACAAACTTCTGTCGAGTTGTTCCTTGCTAAAATCTCCCTTATCAAAAATGGGGTTAGGAAATACATTTCGGAACTCTAATTCTGGCATTCAGGGAGATGTTGGTGCTATTACATGGTAAGGATGGAGCTCTGGTGACCTTGAGGGTTGGCAAGTTGGGCTGCTGACAGCCAGGCAGGGCAGCAGTGAGAAATCACCAGGCACCCTCCGGGAGAAAGGCGAGGCTCTGCTGCCTTAAGATGCCCAGCCTTGGAAGCGCAAGGTGCAGGTCTGCTCTCAGCTTGCTTTGGAGTTGGAATTGACTGGACAGCAGGAACGGCCAGGTTTCAGTTCTGCAAGTACTTCTGGGTTTTCTTGGCATTGCTTCTATTATTTATTTATTTTAGGAAAAAAAACCAAAACATTCTCAGTTTTTTCCAGACTGTATCCTATTTCGTTTAAGGTCTAATTCAAGCATTACTTATTCTATAACGTTTTATTTGCATTAGTTAACTTAAGAAACTGTATTGAACACTCACCGCGTGTTGTCGTCTGCTCTAGGTTCTGGAAATACAGCAGCAAATGAAAAGATAAAATGCCTGCCCTTAGCCAACTCGTCTTCTGCCACTCTGATCCCCCTTCTAGTCAGAGTTAATACTTCGTGTAAAATCATAATGAGCCCTTTGTCGATTGCTTGCTTATATGTTAAATCCTTCATGCATACCATCTAATTTAATCCGAAAACAACCCTGTGATGAAATTCCTAAGTAGTACCCCTATTTGCAGATTGGACAAACTGAGACTCAAAAGATTAAGCAACTTATTCAAAGTCTCTTATTTGATAGCAGAGACGGTTGGAGTTAAGCCTAGATCTTTGAGAGTGTGCAATTGCAACTCCATGTTACCCTGTCTCGGTTAGGGCGGAAAACAAGGAGAGGTGGGAGGGGAAGTTCAGTCGAAAGAACCCGTGGCCTCTGCCTTACCTGCTGGTATTACCCCGAGAGGAAGCTGTGCTCTGACGGGGGTCAAGAGACAGTCTGTTTCCATCCCAGCATTCTTCTGGGCTCTAAGTAGCAAAGCATGGGCTACTTCACTGGCAGACCCATCTCCCCCAACACAGACGACCCTAGACGAAAAGCAATGAAGCGAAAAGATGGGAAATTACAGATTAATTAGGAAGAATTTAGGAAGACTAGGCTTCCAAATATTTGTATTAAGACTATATATTAATGATTACGCACATTCACAACCCTTTTAGGGTGAAATGAATAAGAAGATGCTAGCACTGCACACAGTCATCTTACCTCACAGATAGATCGCTAGATAACACATATGATTGAAATATTTTTAAATGAATTCGTTATTCTTGTTGGGTCCCAGTTCAAATTACTGAGTTCTATGAACCTGAGAGTGGGTTAGAAACGTGAGCACATGAACTCAGATATGACTAGCATTCACTCCCATTAAACCCCCAAACACGACATTCTCATTTTGATTATGTGAATATACTATCATAGGCAATTTATTTGACTAACCCAAACCAAAGTCATAAATCATCCTACTGCTCAGGGTAAAAGGCATGATTTAAAAAATGTAAAATATGAAGCTTCGATTTAAGGTACTGCCAATTCTCCTTTGTATATGAAAGTCTTGATCGCACACCTAAACTAGTTTTCCTCTTCTTGAAATTCTGCTGAAGGACACGTTTAAAATTAGTGTTACCACATTTCACCCTAGTTGGGACTGCTAATGTTTCTAAAGGCTTCATAGTAGGAAGACCTAGCTAGAGAAACAGAAAAATCCATGAAAGTAGTGCCTAAAACCCTAGTAATTCATTTCATACCCATTTGCATTTAAAAGATGCAAAATAATCCTGACCGTCAAAATGTTTACCCCAAAGAAGGGAGATGGTGTGCTACCAGAAGTGGTCGTCTGAAAGGCAAAGCCTACAAAGACCCAACAGGAGTGGCAGTGGAGGGACCGAGCCTCGCAGTGTGATGGACTCCATTATGTGAGAGGCAGGGGTGCGGAACGAGCTCTCTGGTTATCACAAGGAAAAGGTTTTGTTGTTGAAGTTTTTATAATGAGTTCATTTAACCACGTTTCTCATTATTCACATTTGGCCTTTTTCAGCGCTACTCTAACACGTAACTCTTAGAGTCACTCACCTTTCGGTAAGTTCTAAAGGCTGTTGCTCCCGTCCCTGCCCTGAGTCAGTCCCCTCTCTCTTGCTACGGCCTCCTGCAGAGTGATCTGTCTAAAAATGTACAACTGGAGGGAAAGGGCCTCCTTTTCCTGCAAGCAACGAGAAACCTGTATTTCTAAAGGGGATGGTTACATGTTACAGACCAACCAGTGTCGTTGTTTCATTGTTGCCCTCACGTCCTTTCTGACAGCGTGGTAGTCCCACGTATGTCAGAGTAGAAACTCTCCATACACTTTCCAAGGCTGTACCCTTCCAAGAAGCAGCTCGCAGGGCTGCCTTCCAAGGACCTTCTGCAGGCAGGGCGATGACAGGAGCATTAAGCATCAGCCCATCAGCTAGCTAGTAGCAGAGCACGCCACCACTTGAGCCACCCTGGCACATATTTGAAATGTTGGGTGCGTCATGTGGTTTTTAAGTTAGACTTTTTCTTTATTGATTATTATGTTTTTAAACATTAGCTCCACATGAGTAAATGTCTATAAATTACTAGATTTCCGGTTCTACACATATAAAGAAAACACCCTGTTCATGTTCAGTGTAAATAGTTCCAGTCTGCAATCTGAAGCTCTCCAAGTTTTAGCAGCGGGTCTGTGAGTGTTTGCTAGAACATCCTAGAGTGGCACGCCAGCTGTCATGAGCACTGATACACTGTAGAAATATGTCACAACCCATTGTCATAGAATCATTTATGACTCACTTAAAATACTCTCAAATCTTAGCAAGTAGCACTTATTAGAACATTATTTAGCCATTCATTTCATTTTACTGACTAATAGATACTGATTTGTTCTTTGATAAAAAGTAAGTTCTGGTCTTAGCCTCTATCTCGAAATTCGATGCTTTGCTAAGCAGCCCTTACCCATAGTTGTCTGGAGTCACGCAGAGATGCTTCGGGCCAGAGTCCTCTTAGAGCCTAGGGAGTGTCTTCACCCCACCCTTGATTCTTTCTATCAATTTCTCACAAAGGAGTTCTTGTGGCCTCTTTTTGGACAAGGAGAGGGACCCTACCAGTGTGGACAATTCCATTTTTGACATCTCTACTTGTTAGAGAATGGTTCTTTGAAATGCATTAAGAGACTCTTTTCATTGTTCTCTTCATAATTAGAAATAATTATATAAAATTACCACTTATATTTTTTAATTTTTTTTACTTCCATTTCAGCTCCTACTGGAGAACAAAGTCCATGTAAATGAGTGGACTGTTTAATGGATCTTAGATTCTAAGTAACTTTCACTAGATATGTACAGTATTACAAGTCTAAATAAATCAGTATAATTTAACCACAACAAAGAAACAAAAAAAAGGAAGAAAAGCCCTCCTGTCATCGAGTCAAATCTGACTCATAGTGATCGTACAGACTAGGGTTTCGGAGACTGGAAATCTTTATGGGAGCAGACAGCTAGCTGAGGAGAGCTGGTGCACGGGACCCACTGACCAGCATAAACAACCCAGCATTTGTGCCACGGCACCGCTGGAGGTCCTGTTTTGAGATAAGGAACAGCTAAAGCAAAATAATTCGATGCAAATCATGGTTAGGTCCAACGATGCCATTTTCTCAGAAGTGGGTAATAACGAACAAATCTAAATATTTTTAGCTATACCCTGCGGAATAACACCTCCCTGGTGACCTAAAATCCTCCTTAGCATGGCGTTTACAAAGATTTAAATATGATCGAGTAAAGAAAATATCACTATATTGCACTTGAGCAATATCCTGTCCTCGGTCTTCCAAGTGCTTAATTATTGGCCAACTTTTCTGAGTATAATTAGTAATAATGAAAAAAAATGAAAACATCAAACTTACTGTCATTGAGTCATTTCCAATTCATAGGGACCCTATAGGGTGGGGTAGAACTGCTCCTGGGGGTTTCCACAACTCTACATCATTACAGGAGTAGAAAGCCTCATCTTTTGCCTTCAGAGAAGCAAGGGGTCTTAAACTGCTGACCTTGTGTTTAGCAGAACAATGTGCAACTCATACACCCACAGGACTCCATATAGTTACCAATAGAACATACTTATAGAAACCGCATTCATCGCTTCTCGGCCTTTTGGCTAAGATCAAGTGTAGAAACCGCATTCATCAGAACAATTCATCATGCTGGTGGACAACTGTACATTCAATACCTGTGACATTCATTAATATGATTTATGTAATCATATTTTGAGGCAGGGACTCATTGACAAGGCCGCCACCCTCATACACTTACCAGTTGGGCGGGGTGAAGTAGTGTGTTAAGATTAGTAGCTAATGTGCATACTTCTACCAATTATTTCTCTTAAATATTATTATGCATGAAAATGTCCTAAATTCAGCCTACTAATCCTTTGTCTTCCTTTAAGTATAAAATTCTGAGGTAATCCCTCACACTCCTCATTCTCAATATTTATCTAATATTACCATCTAAATTTACTCCTAGTAAAATTCCTTTTGGAAAAATCATATTTCACTCACTAAGTTTCTTTTTCCCCAACTCCTAATTTTCTTATTAAAAATTACTAAGCGTTTCTGACAAACTGCTTGGATAAGGCTCCATTTCGCTTGCATCCTTTCCCTCTCTAAACCATGCTCAGTTCATTGAGAAGAAGAAAACCTGTTGCTCTGGTTGAAAAGCTCAAATAGCCTTCTAATAGTGGTTGCCCTCCACAACCCCATCACCACCGGACACAATTCCGAAACTTGCTACCTTTTAAAACACTCAAATATCCGCTGTTGAAAAAAAAAGGTCTTCTCTAATATGTGTGTGTGTGTACTTCTTAGTCACTTACGTCAATCTAGCACTTCAACAAACTCACCAATTTGAGAACGTGGCAATTAAAGCGTACGGCACTTGCCTTGTTTCTGGTATTTGTGCCCCAGTGAACAGTCTCTAAGAAGCCTTGGTGGTGTGGGGAGTAAAAACACTCAGCGGCTAATGGAAAAGTCAGCCGTTGGACCCCACCAGCCACTCTGCGGGAGAAAGATGAGGCTGTCTGCTCCCCAGAGATGCCCAGCCTTGGAAGCGCAGGGGGTGGTTGTACTCTGCCCTGTCTGGTTGCTATGAGTTAGAATGGACTCCATCGCAATGGGCGTGGTTTCTCTTGTTGAGTGACCTCTGTATGCCTTCACCATATGCCACGACCAATGGTTTTCACTGCTTACTATGACTACTTGGTAGTCACTAAATTTTAAGAGAACATTGAAACTTATCTCTTTTATCTTTTCTTTAAATAATCTATTTGTTTTTATAAAGCATTTATTCCTGGATCAATCACAGTAATTTAGCCTGTGGATAGCTACTAAAACTCTCCATAGAGTTGCTAATGGGGATCATAGAGTTATACCATAGGACCCACATTCTACCTTCCACTGATACTTTTCCAGATCCTCATTTGGTTAAAGCCAACCATTAAGGATTCCAGACACAAATGTATGTCCATTAGGTATGTGCAGGGTGATACACTGATTTCTCCCTATTTATAATTCCATTTCTCTTTTTGTGTGTTTCCCCCTGTGCCAGCTTCTGACAGGCATATGGCCATGTCGTATTTTCATCATTGCAGTTATATCGTATTATTATTGCATGTATTTGAGTAAAATAAAACCTAATCGCTAACATCACCAATATGTAAAATTCCAGGTCCCATAGATAGGTGAAACTAACAAACTACTTACTACTATAAACCAGTGGCACTCAGAGATACTAAAACCTACCCGTCAAATCCTTGGAGCTCGCATTCTTTAAGCAGTGATAGAGCATGCCCTTCATATTCCGTTACTATTTAAAAGAAAATGCAAAATGTGAAAGTTTAAAACAATGATCTATACTTTTTCACTTGGTCTGGCAATATAATATGATAAACATATGGTAAGTCATAAAGCAACATTTATTCTTGAGTATTTATATTTTAATCATGGAAAGATAATTAAGTATGAGCTTCCTGATGTGTTTTATAGTTTTATGTAAAAGAGGGTCACATATTTGTTCCCACTACATCAGTCATTTGGTGATATCCCCTACACAGTGGTTAGGTCATTTATCTTGGTGCCTGTCTGTGGCTTTGTAAATAAGACACTTAAACAATCAAAAGCCTAGGAGGGCAATATTTTCAAAATAAGGTTTATTAGCTAGTCTAGAATAGTCAACCATAAATCACTTTGTTAAACTTAAATGAATAAATTAGATAAAGGGTAGTGTGAGGCTGGCATGCTAAGAAACAATGTGTACCCGGAATGACCAGACTAACAAGAGGATGAGCTGGGTGTGAAAAGACGAAGCCAATACGCATGTCAACCGACCCACGTCCAAGGAGCAGGCTGGCACACTGGTCACCAGAGCCTGGGTCCTCAGAGGAAATAAATCTGTCACATTGTCTCGCTGTCTCCACCACTGCTGATGCCCTATGCAGTACTGTAAATGCCAGTGTGGACAGGAGACACTGGCACACTGCAGATGGCACTGGGCATCACAACCACATTTAGCATTTTCTAGGGTGTCTCTGCCAGCAGAGGCAGCCCAGCTGTATCCACCCATCAAAGATTTCTGCTGACTGACATGACACTGCAGATGGATTTTCTGTGTAAGAATGTGCATCACTATATGCAAGATTACATTCATCTTTCATGTCTGTCTGGTGCCAGCATAGTTCAAGCTTTTCCTGCAATGTTTTTAGAAATTGTTACAAATTATTAGTCTGAATGTCTAAAGGAATCATTCTTTATCTAGCAGTTACATTGTAATTCTCCACAGCGTATTCAAAAGCTGCTAACAGTCCCATGAATAAAATTTGTGTTAAATTCTGATCAGAAGCTATAATAAATTGCAATATAACGTATCAATATTAGTAAAATTGGAAGACTAAGTTAATATGCACAGTGGTGGGATGATCGTTTAGTTACAGCTATACCTCTATACAGCTATAGCAGCAGCAACCCTACAGTGAAAATAAGAACATCATATTTGCACACTTTAAAAGTAATTAAACATTACCAAAAAATACTTACACTGAAATATGGTCAGTGGAGTTTTGCTTGCATACCAAATTAAATTTGGGTGTAGCTTTTCAAATCCAATACAATGTTTACTTAAAACTAGGTTATGGCCAAATGGTCTTTGTATTTACAAAACATTTATAGTAATAGTCTATTGTTCCCTTTGATTTTTTTAGATAGAATTTGAATATACAAGAGGAATTCTATTTTTTTTATTATAGGTGCCCCTTTAATGTCTTAAACAAAGCATTTAATTCCACTTTCTACAAACTTTTGGAAGCCCCTTCAGACACCCTGACTGCTCCATCCTTGACTGCAGGGAGTGGATGGGGACCGCTGGGATGCGCGGCCAGACGCGACTGCTGAGCAGTAGGCGTTGTTAGGTAAGCAGGGATGGGATGTGCCGTTTTGGAAGAAAGGGGGACTGGACTGATGGTTTATAATGTCCTTCTCCATAATTAACAGAGAGATACTCATCTGCTCTCTGTCAGGATCCCTGTTAGCCTGGTGACTATCTGTATGTTGACTGATTGGTTGATTTTTTTTTTTGGGGGGGGGGGGTACAAGACAGGCAGGAAAGGCAATCTTATGGAGACATGGTTGGTAAAATGGTTCCTGAGGGCCACGGGAGGGTGGGAGAGGTGAGGGAGCCGACAATGACGGTACAAGGAAACAGTAATTGTTTGGAAACTGGTGTTCAGGAGGGTGTAGCTTTTCTGGTTGAGTTTAATCAATTGATTATATCTGAGAGGAATTACTGAGAGGTGAACAATGGGTAAACATAATAGTGGGGTAGGAGGGAAGAAAAGAGGAAAAAATATATATGTGTGTATTTGTTTATATATGTATGTATATATGTAAATGCAACAAGGAAGTAGATGGACTTTGGACCTCTACTTAAATCTTACCTCAGTACAAGTACGGTTTGTTTCAATACTGTGGCAATGTATGATTCTCACCTTCCCGACATGATTGCTGAAGACCAAATGTGTGCATAAGCAAATGTGGTGAAGAAAGAGGATGGTGCCTGGCTAGTAAAAGATACAGCGTCTTGGCTTTTAACAGCTTGTAGTTAAACAAGTGGCCCTCTAACAAGGAAGCAACAAAGCCCACATGGAAGAAGCACACCAGCCTGTTGATCATGAGGTGTCGACGGGAAGAGGTATCAGAAGTTCAAAAATGAGCAAACAAATCGACATGAAGTGGCGTGCATGTAGTGGAGACCCCAAACCTACCTGTAAGGTAACTGGACAGTCCCGCTCAGAAGGGCCACACAGAAAGGATGACAAATCCAGGGAGCGGTAGAGCCCTGATGAACCACATAACTATCCTCTAGTGCTTTAATATTTCCTCCCCTTACTGTTAATGGCTTTTATTTGCTTTGTCTCATTAATCATGTTAGGTAGTGTATGTTCATTTGTATATTCAAGATTGGTATATGAAAGCCAATAAAAATAATCCTTCAGAACCAGGAGTAAAAGCTCCCTGGGGGGAGAGTGGGGTGGGGAAGGGAGGAGTGGGGGACAGCATTGATGACTGTATAGCCCCACCTGATGGGATCAAACCAGAATTGTATGTGAATGGATATATTGGATCATGTAAGATATGGCAAAAAATGTATAAGGAAAAACTAATATCATCATCATAATAATAAAGGGTTCCTGGGGGGAGGGGGAAGAAGGAGGGGTCAAGGGGAGCTGATACCAAGGACTTCAAGAAGAAAGAACGTTTTTTTGAAACTCATTGCGGTAGCAATTGCACAACCCTTCTTGATGTGATGGAACCGTGGGTTGTTATGAGATCTGTAAAAGCTCCCAATAAAATGACTAACAAAATGAAAAGTAAGAGGTCGGAGCATGACATCAGAAGGAGAAAAAGAGAAGAACGTGACAGCCAACCACACATTCTTCACAACTCTCCCCAGGACCGGCCAAGAAGTCGGAATGTCGGATTAACGAATTCACCTTGTGCCTGAACTCTGCGCTGCACTCAGACAAACACCTTTGACCACGGTGAGAGAAGGCCGAGCAGCTTCGTTATGAGAGGTCTGAGGGCTGTGCTGGTAAGAACATGAGAGGACCAAGGGGAGGAAAGGACCTGTCTTCAACTATCTTAAGACTCTTCGTTATTGTTACATAGGTAATAAAACATTTGTCATTTGTACAATCTTCCTGTATCTGTTCATCATGTTGTTCAACTATCACGATTAACCATCTCAAAATTTCCCACTCCCTTTAACAGAAATTCTGAGTCACTTAGGCATCTGTTTCTTACACAGAAGACGGACCACATCTATTCTGAACTGCTATGAAAGAGAGTGTTAAATCTGCTCTCAGGTGCCATTGTTTGTGTCAGCCTTACTCAGCAACCTCGTGCCCAGTTCTACACCATCCTCACAAGCAGAGCTGCAATTGTGCAAATTTTCCTAATGTTTTTTAAGTCCATTTGCCAACCAATGTGCCAGTACATCTTTTCTTTCAGTGACTGTCTACTTCACCAGGCATAATAGCCTTCATCAAGAACTTGTCCCTTCTGACAACATGTCCAAAGTACTTGAGCGGAAGTCTTGCCATCCTTGTTTTGAAGGAACCTTCTGGTTGTGCTTCTTCCAACACAGATTTGTTCCCTTTTCTAGACGTCAGCACCCACAGTACAGTCAATATCTGTTGCTCACACCATGGTGCCTAGTCTGGCACAAGGCAATCAACTCTGCTCAATTGTAAGCCTCCCTGCAAAACCCTCACTCAAATCACAGCCTGGATACCTTTACAAGGAGGTTTCTTGGGGGAAGGAAGTGGCCTCCTTCCAATATAAGGGCATTATAGACACCGTTGCTTTGCTTTGCTTTGGGTCTAGAATCAGCAGTTCTCAACCTGTGGCTCAAGACCCCTTAGGGGGTCAAATGACCCTTTCACAGGGATTGCCCGATTCATAACAGTAGCAAAATTACAGTTATGAAGTAGCAATAAAAATAATTTTATGCTTGGGGGGCATCACAACATAAGGAACTATATTAGAGGGTTGCAGCATTAGGAAGGTTGAGAACCACTAGTCTAGAACCTTCATCTACCTCATCAAGCTCCCATTCTGTGTATTTGAACCAATGGCTTGCCATGTTGTCTGCTGATCCAGGGACTCATCAGAGGCTTGCCATCTGATCTGTCAACTTGGATTCATTCTCAAACTTGGATCCATTCAACCCTGCAGTCCTAAGGCTGACCTGCTGACTTTGAACTCAGCCTCCTCTGCAGCTCCCATCCTGTGGTTTCCCTGCTGATCTTGGGTTCATCAGCTCCTGAAGCTCTACCACTCAAGAGAAACCTCCAGGTGAACATCTGGCCTGTGGACTTGAAACCTATCTGCACTTGGGCTCAGGTGCTTCTACTATTGTGTGAAGCAGTTTCTGGATATTAATATTTTTACATCAGTATTTATCACTGTTTTTGCTTCTCTAAAGAACCCAGTCTAAGGTACCATGCATATGGGATGGTTGAAAATACCATGGCGTGGGTCATGTGCATCTTAGCCCTCGCAGTGACATCTTCCTTTTTGAACACATTAAAGAGATCTTTTGCAAATTTTCCCAATGCAATGCACCACTTAATTTCCTGGCTGTTACTTTGATGGCACTGATCATTGCTCCAAGTAAAATTAAATCCTCTACAGCGTCAATATTAACTCTCAAAAACAACAACAACAAAAATCCCTCAAGGCCAACGAGTGAATTCTGACTCATAGCAAGCCTCTGGGTCAAGTAGAACGACCCCATGTGGGTTTTTCTGTTGTCAACTTTATGGAAGCAGAAAACCTCATCTTTCTCCCACATACTAACTCTCACTCACTGCTACCAAGTCAACTCTGACTCATATCAGGCCTAGAGGACCCTAGGATTCTATTTCCTCTGTGGGTTTCTGAGCCTGTTACTCTTTACAGGAGTAGAAGTCCTTGTCTTTATCCCACAAAGCAGCTCGTGGTGAAAAACAGCTGACCTTGTGATTAGCAGCTCAAGACAGAACCACTACACCTCTGGGCTTATATTGATAAAGATAAAAATTGCAAGGAGGCAAATATTAGCTCACAGGGCTCTGTAGATGGTTGTGTGGTTTGGGCCTAGCACCAAAGCACTTGGCCAGAAAGGCAGGTGGGCTTGCAGTTAAGCAAGTACTCCAGCTCAAGATGCTAGGTGACCTTGAGCTGACTCAGCCCAGAAGTGGCACCTTCTCTTAAATCATCACAGCGATGCTGGAATTTTCTGGTGTAGTGGTTATACATCAGGCTGTGATTCATATGGTCGGCAGTTCAAAACCACAAGCAGCGCTGTGGGACAAAGACTGGACTTTCTACTCCTGTAAACAGTGAGTCTCAGAAAACCACAGGAAGTCACTATAAGTCATCATTGACTGGACGGCAGTGAGTTTGGTTTTTGGGTTGCACAAAGGCACGATGGCCATGAAATCAGAGTAAGAATGACTAATGACATTGTTGAGTACACTGCTTCTGTTGTAGGGGCCCTAGCGAAGACTGGTGCTCATCCACAAGGAGTGTCACACACCTGTGCTTCACCATGGGGAGGGGAGGGGAGTCTCTAAATTCTCTGCAGTCTGACTTGTCTGCTATCTTGACTTTTTTATTTTATTGGTTTATGAATCTATGATGTCTCAAATTTTCTTTCCTGCATTTAATGGTGCAGTCCTTAAAGTCTACTTTATTTTAGGAGCAAGATAATGAGAAGGCATCGTATCCCATCACAGGTTAACCCCACTTGCTTTACTTTTAAAATAGGTTATTTGGAAAAAATCGCTTTTTCTAGGTCTACCTAGAAATACTACATTCCATTATTAGGTAAGAAACATTGAGCATGGTTCATAGATGGGGTTCAGCTGGAACTCAAATATTTCAAATATATGGGCTTGCTTTAGGAAATAGGGTTTCAGCACAACCAAGAATAAAAGAGCAACTATATTTTTGTTAATAGGTTGAGATCCTTTTATTCTTTGAAGTCATAATGTACATAGCTGGCTATAATTTTCAAACCCTCCTTTATATTGCTATAACACCAGTTTCTAATAAGTTCTCCATTATATAGAATGTATTATGTGATTGTTGCTCCATTTGTCTTCACTATTGTGCAAGGATATGTTAAAATAACCATTACTAGGTTTTCAGAAGATAAGTATTTTTCAGACTTTGTTTCATACAAAATACTTTTTCTCTCAAATCCGATGTGGACTGAATCTTAATATGCTCCAGTTTTATGAAACAAACTGAAGAAATGACCACATTTCTATAGTACTTTATAGTACACCATATACTTTGTAATGTCTTAGTTGAACAAAAACCAAAAAACCACTGACACGAACGCTAGTACTTTTTTAAGGATTTAACATGTTTAATTAGGATTTTTAATGAAAAAAAAAAGAAAATGTTTAAAATAAATATTTAGGTAATATACAGACAAAATTATTTTAAAAGGAAGGGATGTAATTTTATCATTTTGCCTGTAGGAGGAGTGTTAGGCAGCTAATGATTATCCATCCTGTGCAAATAGAAAGTAAGTCCTAAATGTGCTTTGTGTGATATTTTAATGTTATTTTGTAATAAAAATATAGCATTTACTAATATCTATGCATTTAGAAAAAGTACACTAGTATTTACTATTTTTTCCTCTTCGATACAATCGCTTTAGAGGGGAAAAACTGCATTCTTGTCATTTCTTCTGCCTTAGTTTAGCTCTCGTGCACCAGTTTCATTTTCTCCATTTGCTCTCACTTCCTTTCTCATCTTTATTCAACTGGAAAGTCATCTTTGCAAAGCCAGATTACAACAGTCTGATTGAAATTTTATAGCACTGCTGGGTCCATGGGTGATGACAGAATTCCCGAGTGCAGTGGAGTCATTCATAGTCTGAGCACAGGTTCCCTGAAGTATACATTGTTGGGCCTACCCAGAAGCCATTTCGTCCTATTTCCTCCCCTACTAGAACTCGGACTCTGTTCAGGTTTTTGTAGTCTTCAGACAAAGGATGTCCCACCCTGAGGCCCTGGGACGATCCTCGTTGGTAGGGAAGTGATGAACCCAGGTTGGACTCAGGTAATATACTGGCTCAGCCAAACTGAGGGAGAAGACATTTAGTACTTGGTCTCTGTGATTGCACAAGTCAGAGAATACAGCCACTGAGTGGCACATGTAGAAATGGGTGAACTGGCTCATGTTGTGCTGTGCATTTCCCCAACAACAACAACATACCATTTAAAAATAAAACATGTTGGTCTCGTTCATAGACACATCTCTCTCTGGCATTTGACTAACAGGAGCAGCCAGTTGAGGAGGAAAGAGAAAAAGAGGAAGGTCAAGCAAGGTGCTGGAAAGAACTCCCCAGATAGCATGAAGACAACCCACCACTTACGTGTGCCTACCAACCTGCTCCCCCGCCTCCTCTTTCCTTCCTCCATGCCAGGCCCCATCCCAGGGGCGGCAACAGAAAAGTGGGTGAAATGAGACAGCACTCGGTGTAAGACATGAAAAAAAACCCATAAATTATCAAGGGGGCATGGAAGAGGGAGGGTGGGGGGTGTTGGGGGCAAGTGAGGAGCTGATGCCAGGGGCTCAAGTAGAAAGAAAATGCTTTGAAAAAGATGATGACATTTGCTTGACAAAATGGACATATGTATGGTTTATGATAAGAGCTGTAAGAGCCCCCAATAAAATAAAACACTTCTCTTCCCCTTTTCTCTGCTTTTTAAAGACTAACCCAGCCTTCATTACTCAGTTGTTCAAATGCTTTTTTTCTGAGTCTGCTGTGAGTCAAAATTGACTCAATGGCAGTGAATTCAATGAGTTTTCTTAAGTACCATAGTTATATATATATCCCAATCATAACGTAGTTAATTGAATCCTTAGAAAGCTGAAAGTCACTCAAACAAGGAATATTTCTTATTTATTTTGCACCCCGTACCATGTTCTCTTTGGAGGAGGGATTCAGGAATGGTCTCTTGAACTGAATGGTACATGTAGAATTCTACAGGTAGTGTACTGTTCTGCAGTTGTTACGTATTAAAGCAATGAAACAAAATAATTACTGTGAGGCAGCCTGCCAATAGGCACATTCAACTTTTAACTGTTGACATTAATTTCCCAGGCTGCACTAATCAACTACCCTGTTGTCAGTGGATGGGAGTCAGTTTTGACTCAAGAGAATCCCCCATGTACATATAACTGCTGACTCCATTGGATTGTTGTGCCTGTGATCTATCAAAAGCAAACGGCCAGGCCAGCCATTGGTGGTATCTTGGGCCAGTTGGCACCAACAAGCTTACTGCCAATAGTTGGTGCTAAGCCATTTGCACCACCCAAGAATTCCTCTCAACCACAAGAACCCAGGCAAGTTTCATCCTAGCATGAATTTCAAACATGTTTTTTGGCAGATCTTTGAAAATCTTCAGTAGAAAGAAATACTATATCTGCATTATCTCTTTCCTACTAATCATGTCTAAGTGAATCAAATGAGACACTTACCCCTTTACAACTTCATTGTACCTCAAAAATTCTTCTTTGATTTTTTCATTACATTTTCTGTGGAACTCATAAAATGATTGATTTGAGGCGACATTGGCATCCTTCCCACAAACTGCCTCTTTAAAGGAACTTCCATCTTTCCCAAGTCATGAGATGTGGGTTTGAATGGCTTTATTTACATGTTGAGGTCTGTCATCTTTAGTCACCATTGAGCAAGGCCAGGTCACTCTGAATCCCTCCTGCCAATAATTGAGAATCGGGTCTGGGACATTTCAGTGGGACTCGAGGCTCATCTCTTGAGTAGGCTTACTAGGCAATAGTCTCCCCTTTTGCAAGTGACTTCAAAATCCACACTGCGTGGTAATCAATTCACCCTGACATAAAGCCAGAAAAGACGCAGGTAATAATCTCAATTTCCCCCTCCTTACGCCACAGGAGAATTAAGAAGAAAACAAAGGAACCTTTGCCCATCAAACTTTTTAAAAATTAAAAAGTATTATATTCTTCTTCATATTAGTTTTGGCTCTGAAAATCTTGTTTTCACTGGTGCAAACCTAACCATTGTTTCTATTTTAGAGACTGAATGGAAGTTTCTGGCTTTTAAAAATATATTGAAAACAGCAGCTAAGTGCTTGGTTTTGACCTAACCAGCAGGGGTCAGAGTCAGAGCAGAAACAACCCAACGAAGGCTAGGAAGGATTGGACTGAACAACACTGAACATAAGTGAGCAAAATCAAGTGTCCACCACACTGTAGCAATGCGCAAATAACATATATCTAAATGGAGAGACTAAAAAGCCCCCTTTAAAGCAATTCCTAATAATTTTCCAAATCTAAAAAGAAAATGTTAAGAGAAACCAGATATTCTAATACAAATAACATTATAAAAGAAAAAAAGGAATTTAATGCTACATTATGGAAACTCATAAAAAGCTTTCGCTACTACTAATAACTTGCTGTGGTTGGATTAGGAGCAAGACTCGATGATCTTGTTTCCTTCACAACGCTTTTCAAAGGGTAAAATGACATTCGGAAGATGACTTACTTGTGACGTCCGTTTTTATTCCTGCAAGCTTCATCAGGGGTTCAACCTTCTCATAATAGATCTGGGTAGCTTCCTTTTTGTGGCTTTGGGGGTTCAGGAGTATCTTCAATGACTTTGGTCTGTTTGAAAACCCTGAGAGAACACAAAGTCAGAGTTCCCAGTCCACAGGCACCTTGCTCGTTCCCTGACAAGCACCCTCTGAGATCCAGGTAGAATGTAACACACACACACACACACACACACACACACACACACACACACACGGACATCACGCTTGCTGTGTTCCTTTAAAACTTTTTGGATGAGTATCCCTGAGTGTGGCATTATCTTACAACATCATGTTTTCCTACCAGAGAAACAGTCATGTTCCTCTTCAAGCACGTATGATAGTGAACACTTAGGAAAGAAGGTGCCGTTGGAAGCCGTTTTGTGCATATTGGGCAATACCTGTGTATATTTACCAAGTCACGCCTAATAAATTAAATGGTGTTTCAGCTGTGCTTTCGGAGGTGCCGGGAGCAGTGATGGAGTAGAAACAGAGAGGTCCATTTTCCCTAAATAAGTGCACTTTCTCCTGGAATCAGGCACCTCTGTGAGCCTGAGGCTACGATGGCTGACCTGCTGGTGAGCTTGGCGACAGGAGATTTGGGGGGAGGGAGGAGAGTCAGTGACAGCACCCAGAGCAATGCATGCTGGTAGCTAAAAAGGCTTAGGTCAGAGTTCAAGCCTGAAGTGGGGTCAGGGGAGTAAAAGCAATTCCCCTGGGGGTTGGAAGAGGAACGCCTCTCAGCAGGGATTCAAGGACAGCACTGCCTCACAGTTGGGGCTGAGATTTGATACTACAATTTTCTGGGCTTTGCAAGATGCTTATCACTTAGAACCCAGTTGGAGCAGGTGCAATGCAAGTGTTCTGCTGTTGGGAAGGGCAGGAGGGACAGGGCACCAAAAGAAAGCTGCCAACCATTTCTTTTACAGCAAGCTCTGCTGGGAGGGCCATGTTTCACGGTATTTCTGTTTGTTTGTTTGTGTTGCTTTAGGTTACGAATATCCATTAAAACAAATAAAGCCACTACTAAAGACAAATGAAAAAATCCCTAGTTCAGCAAAGCCCATTTTTATGCAGCATAAAATAGAGATATTATTCCAGTTCTCATCCTAGTGGATGCAATGAAATGTTACACGAGCAAGGATGGTTTTGAATTCAGGGAGGGTTCCAATGTCCAGACTGCCACCCCGAATGCCTTGCACATTCCCACACAACTCTCAGATTCTCTACCTGAACAAGGAGTCTCCGTCAGCCTCTGGCTCAACATTCTCCAACTGTTAACCAAAAGGTTGGTAATGTGAGTCCACCTACAGAAGTACCTCAGAAGAAAGGCCTGGTGATCTATCCCCCCCACCCCAATCAGCCACTGAAACCCCTACAACAGCCTACTTTTATAGTAGAATAATAACTAATGTAAAAGAATTATAGAGTTTAAAAGTCACAATTTTCAGCTTTCAGCATGAGCATTGATTCCGGCAGGAATTAGTCATTCGTTGGGTAAAAATGGGATTAGGAGCAGGTGGCAAGATAATCACATATTCTTAAACTCTGTCCCACACACTACTCTGTTTTACGTAGAGGAGAAAGTACTTTAACAGTGGGGAAATCTGGCAGGCCATTAAATTTAATCATTTCCTATGGGGTATCAATTTACACGCATTCCTTGTGATATAGTCACTGAGAGAAACACCCCAATTCAGATGCACCCAAAAGTACATCATGTGAGCACAACATGATGAAACACTCAAAGGCCCAAGTTGAAGGGCATTCCTTTTAGTTTTCAAAACAGTCAAGATCACAAGAGCAAATTAGGGTTAAAGAAGGGATCCAGAGTAAAGGAAGCTGGAGGGATATGTTGTGTACAAAAAAAAAAAGAGTCACTAACTTTTTTTTCGGGGTGGGGGGCAGCATCTGACTTCTGACTTCACAAAGGGGAAGGAAAATCAAATGCAACAGCAGCCTAAGGCCAATTCCTATGAGGCAGGTGCCAGACCTGCTTCCACACTCCAGCTTCTTAACCAATTCTGTCACCTGATATCTATCCCATGGCTAAGTCTCTGCTGGGTTTGATAACTCATTGCAATGGCCACACAGAACTCACAGACGATGTTCAAAACTCTGGGCTTTTTAGAGAAGTTAACCGGCTACAGTTCAGGATCAGAAATGTCTAGGCTGCAATTCTTTGGTCAGCACAGCCTCTTCTTTCCATGCCAGCAGGAGGCCTCTCTCTGCCCCCTTGGAACCTAGGCCTGGCCTCTGCCCTGCTTGGACAATGTTACAAACCTCTTTTAGCACTGCTGTCAAATGCCCAAAGGGCATGCCACTCCTCCATAAGCCTCAGCCTGAAGGTGCTCCCACAGGTTAGCAAAAAACTTTGCTTTCCCTTAAGTACCTCAAGGTACCCTAATCTACAGGTGAGCTTTCTGTCTGAAAGCACCCAGCTTCCATGCACCAGGAAGCCCATCACTCTGCCTCATGCTCTGGATCTGCCACTGCCACTCCTCTGGAGCCACAGCTGTCTCCTGGCTCGAGGAGGTTCAGCACACAGGAAGCTCCAAGTCCAGAGGACACACTCCACTCCTGGCTCTTCTTTCTTGATAGTGGTGAGATTTCACTCTCCTGCTTCTCAGATGACTCATTTTAAACTCAGCAAAATCGACCAATGACCCAATAAGCAGTCATTCATAATCACTCACTCTGACCCATCCAAAGAAAAGGAAAACTATCCAATTTGCGTGTCCCAACCCCCAGCCCCTATTGGTTGGCAGGAGTGACAACGACTGGCTAGAAGAGCCAGCCCTATTCATTCACTGCACAGCCACAAGGGAATGCACGTGTGATTTGGTCAGGTCAAACACAGCCATAAGTAGCAGCACTGTTACCCTTTAGCTAGAAAGGACTGAGTCGATAAATCCAGACTTACTTTTATTAACATGCCATAGAGACAATAAACTAGCTGTAAATCCCAGAGTCTAAGAACCAAATTAAATATGTAGACTATGTTTACCTTAACTAGGGCACAACTTTGTGGAATTACTCTATTTCATCCCTCAAGCAGGGCCAGTCCAGTAAGGATGATGTCTACACAACAAACCGCAGACCCCAAATGTTGCTGTAAAAAACAACTATGAGTATCCCCGACCCCTTATATGATGACAACAGCAGAGCAGTGAAAGTTTGTAGAAATGAGAAATAGTCACTTGAAATGTGTGTGGATAAATGCATTATCATGTAAGCCTGGTGGACATTGTATAATGATATATGTATGGTTCTAGAGATAGAGATGTAGATATCGCTATATAGAGATAGAGCTGTGTAGAGAGAGATGATGTGTCCCTCATCTTTGAGGCATTTTAATTTAGGAAGAAAACAACTCCAACACACTCCCTCCCATCCGGTGAGTCCGAGCAACACAACAGAGAAGAGAGACGCACTCCTTTAGCTTTCTGGGCCTGCAGCTTTTTGTGGGTATAGGCAGCCTTGTCTTTCTTCTGAGGAGCACACTGGTGGCTTTGAACTGCTGGCCTTGAGATTAGTAGCCCAGTGCGGAACCAGTACCACCAAGGGTTTTAAAAGATTTTCAAGAAAATCGGTAACATTTAACCAGAGAGTTTTTAAATTAAACTTCAGTTAACAATTCTAACCATGAAAACTAAATAAATTAACTAGAAACGTCTGTTCCTTAGACATTCTGGTACATTGATGTCCTATTATACACAAATCAGCAAAGTAAAATTTTCACTGGAACATGTATGCCTTTTCTCACTTCCCTCTCCCTCTGTACCCTTCTCTCTAGTTCAGTGGGTCTCAATCTTCCTAATGCCGCGACCCTTTCATACAGTTCCTCAGGTTGTGGTGACCCCCCCAACCATAACATTATTTTTGTTGTTTCTTCATAACTATAATTTTGCTACTGTTATGAATTGGGCGACCTACTCTGTGAAAGGGGTGTTTGACCCCTAAAGGGGTCACGACCCACAGGTTGAGAACCGCAGCTCTTGGTTGCCCTTCATGTGGTGATTGTGGAGTTACAGCCTCAAAACCATACCTCCTGCCACGGAGGCCATTTGGAGGCCCAGGGACTCCACAGACAGGTGGATCTGCTTCGTGGAGTTGCTGAGGCTGGGCCCCTTCCCACAGACAGACTGCTTCATCGTTCCCCTTAAAGTCAGCAGTCCAAGGCTTAACCCTCTCCAGCACGAGGAGGTATATCTAAATTTGGTAGTTATTTCATACTGTTTTTATCTCCATGCAGCCTTTTAACATGAGATAGATATTTATCATGAGAATTACAGAGCCCTATTCTGATTTTATTATTAAGAGTTGCTTCACATTTATAAATAAGTGTGATCTTTAGTTTTCCTTTGGGATTTGCATTGGCATATCTTTATGTCAGTTTTATGCAAGCTCTATAAATAAAATTTGACATCTTTCCTCCTTGTCTTATGCTTTGGAATAATATAAGCAATAGTGAAGTTTCATGTTCCAAAAAGATATGATACCATCCCTGATAAAAATATTAGAATGTTTCTTTTTTAAGGAGTAGTAACATTTTTTCCTCTCTTTCCTTGATGGTAATTTGTCTGTACAGATTGTCTTTGTCTTCTGGGGTCACTTTGTCCATTTTTATTTTCTTAGTAATGAGCTCATTCACTCCCTTCTGCTCCTGGGAGGCAGCCCGAGGTGTCCCTGGGCTCTACACCTAGTCTTCCCGGGGAGCCGCTCTAGCCACACTGCTTCTTCCTGCTGCACGGAGCCAATCACCCTAAGAGGCATGACAACATTATTCACTGGTTCACTTCTAGGATTCTCTAATGTAGCCAAGTAGCGATCCATGTCCAATTCAGCTGAATCATTGTTATGTTTCAATGTGGAAGTATTTTTCCTTCTTACTAAAACTGATTGATCAGCAAAGTTCAAAGTTGCAGAGACAGAAAGCAAAATCACAGGTAGATCATTAGATAGGAAGGTAGGAGAGAGTAGTTCTGTTTTCACTTCTTGATTCGGGTGGTGGTGGTTGCGGGCCAGCCCGTCAATTCTGAGAACAGTTATCCCACAGGACGGAGCAGAACTGCACCCATCAGTGTTCCCAGGCCACCCGTCTTTATGGTGGCACACAGCCAGGATGGCTTTGTTTTGTGGCATTGCTGGTGTGCTCAACGAATTGACATTTTATTAGCAACCAGACACTAAATCATTGCCCCACTCGGGCTCCTTCCTTGATTCATCTACCCACGTAGTTTATTCACGGAACTAAAAAGTAGTATCTTCTCAAAATTGATCAATAATAATATTGCATGGTATGTAAATTCACTGAACCAAGGAGGCATGCAGTAAGGCCACAGATGGTACTTTTGGCAGAACCTAGTACACAGGGAACAAAAACCCATATCTAGGGTAAGTGTTCATAGCAGTGACCTTCTATGATGGAGACAATCCAATGTAATCAACCTGCCACCAGGTGGTTGGCCAGTTGCTCCGGAAGATGGTGCCATATCCAGGGCTCCAGTTTGATCTGTTTGCAGGTCGAGCGCTCAGTCATGGCTATAGCCAAGTCCGTTTTGGTGGACAGAGTGCTATTGTCAAACCCACACATTTCTTCCATCCTATTATTAAGACCAGTTGACTTCTGTGCCCTTTGTGTCAACCTTGGAATTGGTTCTGAATAGATGCTGATTGACATCAATAAAAATAGGGTGTCGTGCCTGTTTAATGATCCTCTCCTTGGTAACCATTCACATAAAACGCAAACATTCTCATGTTCTCTTCCAATATTCTGCTCTGTTAAATTCAATTACACACCTCTTTCCCATGCATCCTTATCACTGACTATTTTAGTAGTTTAGTCCTGTTGTCTTGGGAGAAAGACCAGGTTTTCTCTGCCCATAAGCAGTTACCATCTCAGACAATCACAGGGGCAACTCTACTCTGTCCTGTAGGAGCACCTGGAGTGGGCACCGCCTCGGCGGCAATGGGTGTGTTTGAGGCCTGTTGTAGTGGAGCCCTGATGGCATAGTAAGGTTGCTCAGTGGGCTGCTAAAAGCCCAGGGCGTGGTTCTACACTGCCTTCTGGGGTCACTATGGGTCAGAAACAGCTTCCTGGCAGTAGCTGCTGTGACATTACAATAAATGGCGTGACTTTAAACAACAAAAGTTTAGTTCTTACAGTTCTAAAGCTAGAGTCCCCAATCGAGAAATTGGCAAGACCACAATTGCTCTGAAGGAGCTAAGGGAAATCATTGCATACCTCTTCTTCGCTTCTGGTGGTTGCCAGCAATCCTTAGAATTCTTGGGCTTGAACCTGCATCACTCCAATCTCTACCTCCACCTTCATGTGCCTGTCTTCCTCCTGTGCATTTCTAACTTCCTCTTCCATCTAGTTACTTAGGAGCACACACTAATTCAGTAACAACTCATTTTAATTTGATCACATCTGCAAAGACTCTATTTCCAATAAGGTCACATTCACAGGGACCAGGGATCACAACTACAAATAATGTTCTAAGGATACAATTTAAATCACAACTTCAACCTCTTTTGGGGGTGTCTGAGCTCCTGGCTCTTTGGACAAGCTTTTAAGCATGGCTCACAAATTAATATACAAAACTCTTTTTGGTTTTCTTTCCTCCTTGGCAATTTGTACCCACTCTTTGCAGTGCTGCCAAATGGCAGGAGTTCCTTTCAAGCATCCTTGAGTCAGGCTGTAATGCTGCAGCCGTCGACTTTTGTTACAGCATGTAGAGCCATTTCTACACTAGCCACTTGTCATTGTCCCCCTCAATCTTCTGCGCAGAAGAAAAAATGTCTTGTAAAATTATATGTGTGGAGTGAAGAGATACAAAGCAATGAATTTCACTTATATACAACTAAACTGTTTATTGTATTCTATTCCACCTAGTCAGTCCTTTAACAATAACAACAATAAAAAACACCTTTGTATCTAGCTGATCAAGAGCACTGTATGCTTTATGTCCTGAATCCTGACCCAACCACATGTTGAAAGTTGTTGTTTCAACTTTCAAAGTTGAAAGTTGTGGGTGTGATCAAGTTGTTTTGACTCAGGGTGACCCCATGTGACAAAGTAGAAACTTACCAGTGTTTTCTTGGCTGTAATCATCACGGAAGCCACTCCTTCCTTCCATGGACCCACTTAGTGGGTTCAAACTGCTAATGTTATGAATAGCAGCCAAGGACTTGTATGTTTTGGCACCAACTCTCCTCAGATGTCTGCTAGCTATCCTATATTTAACATATTCACAAAATAAATTATGATTTCTCCCCAACAAACTTGGTCTCCAGTCTCACAAAATAGCAAAGTCACCCTTCCACTTGCTTGAGTCAGACAATTTGGTACCTTACTATTAAAACTGGTAACTAAAAATAAATATGTAAACACACTTAACTTGGCTGTTTTCAGTAGGGAGTATATTTCAATATAGTTCTTGCCTAGAGTTAGACAACTGAAAGGGAAGAAAATGCTTAGCAGGTTTCAAGTTGAAAGACTCGAAGAGAAAGTCAAGCCTGGTGGTGACACCGGGAGGGTGGAGGGAAGGTGGGGGAGAGAGTGGGAACAGATGACAAGGAGCTACATATAACCTCCTCCCTGGGGAATGAACAACAGAAAGGTGGGTGAGGGAGACATTGGACAGTGTAAGATATGACAAAATAATAATAATTTATCAATTATCAAGGGTTCATGAGGGAGGGAGCAGTGGGGAGCGAGGAGAAAAAAATGAGGAGCTGATACCAAGGGCTCACGTAGAAAGCAAATGTTTTGAGAATGATGAGGGCAACAAATGTACAAGTGTGCTTGACACAATGGATGTATGTGTGGATTGTGATAAGAGTTGTATGAGCACCCAATAAAATGATTTTTTTTTAAAGGGACAATAATCTCAGTGTAATAAAATTAATGTGTGCCAACCCCACCCCCCCAAAAAAAGTGAAGCCTGAGTTGCCATATAAAAGGATTCTATTTGCAAAATACAAGTATTTTCAAATGTTTCTAAACCAGCACTACAAAAGGATAGTGCCATTCGGACCAGCAGTCAAGAGAGCAAAAGATTGACTGCGCTGGGTAAATCTGCTGCACAAGACCTCTTGGAAGTGATGCAAAGCAAGGAGGCTACTGTGATGACTAAGGTGTGCCTGCCCCGAGCCATGGTATTTCCAATTGCCCCATCTGCGTGTGAAAGTTAGACACCAGGAAGAGCCAATGCATTTGAATGGCGGTGCTGGTGAGGGACACTGAAGTGCGTGGACTGCCAAAAGAACAAGCAATCTGTCCGGGAAGAAGCACAGTCCGAATGCTCCTCAGAGGCAAGGATGGTGAGACTTTGTCTCACGTACTTTGGACACATTGCCAGGAGATACCGGTCCGGGAGAAGCACGTCAGGCTTGGTAAAGTCGAGGGGCATCGCCAAAGAGGAAGGCCCTCAAGGCGATGGGTAAACACAATGTCTGCAACAATGGGCTCAAACGTTAACATAATTGTGAGGATGCTGCAGGACCGGCCGTATTTCATTCCGTTGTAACAGCGTCACTGTAAGTCAAACCAGCTTGATGGAAACCAGCAACATAGACCCACCATGAGCTGGAACTGACGGGTGGCATTGGATTTGTTTTCGTTTCTCTGTGTGTGTTGTTGTTGTTGTTGTTTGTTAAATGATACTGACAAAGGCTTAAGCATTCAGCTACTAACCAAACGGTTGTTGGTTTGAATTCACCAAGAGATGCTTCAAAAGAAAGGCCAGGAAGTTTATTTCCAAATGGCACCTGACAGCTCCACGGACGGCAGTGCTCCTCTGAGACCCATCCATTCAGTCGCTGAGGTAGCTAAGGGTTATGTCTGCTTGGCTGGAAGCCATTATGAGTTGGAATCATCTCCATGATAAATGATTTGGGGTTTTTGCTAGAGGATAATCAGCCACTGTTGCCCATTAAGTCCATAAGATCATGGCATGTTTTTTTCAAATATATACTTTGAACACAGAGATATTTCTAGGAGAAAAGGCATGTCTGTAATTTACTTTAAATCATGTTGGAAGAATAATATATTTAAAGTCAATACAGAAAAAATATCGATAGTTACCGAGTTTAACATGATGCTCCCTATAGTAAAATGTCTTCATAAGGTGGTAAAAATGTCTGAATACAATCCTTGGCTTTTTTGTGCTTCATATCTGCAGTATCCACTGTGTCACGAAATTTAGCTCTCTCTTCCTGGAAAATCAAATCCAAAGTCTATCTACTTCTCACCTCCTCTTCTCTTTTCCCTCCCGTCCAAGGCACCGTCTTCACACGGATTACCCCCATTTCCAGTGAGCTGGCCTTCTGATGTGGTCTTCCACAGTCCCGCATAGCCTGCTCTCCAGGGAGCAGCCGCGGTGATCCATTTTAAAACCCAGTTATATTACCCTCGGCTTTAAAATCTCCAAATGATCCCCCATTTCTTTCAGGAGAAAAAGCAAATAACACAAAAAGTTTGCAAGACCCTCTGTGGCCTTCCAACCCCTCAGTCACCTCATCTTCTACTACTTCCTGCTGATTCCTCTCTGTGCATTGTGCCCATGACCTTCTTCTCAATCCTTGGCACTTACTGTTCCCTCTGCTCGGAACTCTTCCCTCTCGGATATTCATATGGCTTGATTTCTTCATTTCTCTTAGGTCTCTTCTAAAACATCACAGCCAAAGATGTTCATGAGCCTCTCTACATACAACAACGAATACCATCAGCTCATGGCTTGGCACAACTTGACATTGAGTTATGGTCAATTAACATGGCCCTTCCAGCCGTAATCCCTTATGTGATATAATTCTGGACTTACATGCCCATGGCTATAGTCTCATTTGGAAAGGTATTCTCTACTAATGAACAGGAATAAATTAAAACCAAATTCACTGCCATTGAGTTAATTCTTACTCCAGGCGGCCCTATTGGGCAGGACAGAAGTGCTCCTGTGGGTTTCTGAGACTGTAACTCTTTACAAGAGTAGAAAGCCTCATCTTTCTCATGAGGAGCAGCCAGTGGTTTCTAACTGCTGACCTCATAGTTAGCAGCACAAGTAACTGCTGCACCAAGATGGGATTAAGAGCTGACTTTGGTAGAGGGTGGGAAACAGGCCACACTTGGTTTCCCTGATGACAGATATCTTTGAGCTCTCACCTTGGAACCAGGCATGGGCCCGGCCACACTGTTTTCCTTGGATATATGAGGGTGCCACTATACGCTATCAGATCAACATCATCATCTGTCCTGGAAACACAGACCTCCATTTCCTGACTGAGCTTTGGTAGAAGCAAGAGGACCTGCTTTGGCTTTAGGCTGTGGGCCCTGCAACTGCTTCAACCCTGTTTGACATTCAGATTTGGGACTGAATAGCACTTACTGCCACACGAGTCATTTTCTCAAGCTTCTGTGGGAGACGTTGTGGCAGTTCGCAGAGCCCACGGACGTGAGGGAATACACTCAAGCAACCCGTGGAGTAGAAATGGAGCTGAACTTGATGGACCGTCATTAATCTCCACCTCCTTGGGGGACTACTCTGGTATTAATTCTTCTAAAAGAAATTATTACCACAGACATACTGTGAATATACCTATTTTTCTTTTTTAATCATTTTACATTTTACTGGGGGCTCACACAATCCATACATACATCCATTGTATCAAGCACACTTGTACATTTGTTGCCATCATCAGTCACAAAACATTTTCTTTCTACTTGAGCCCTTGGTATCAGCTCCTCATTTTTCCCCTCCCTCCCTGACCCTCCCTCAGAAACCCTTGATAATTTATAAATTATTATTATTATTATTATTTCATATCTTACACTGTCTGATGTCTCCCTTCACCCATTTTTCTGTTATATGTTGATCATTGTGATCAGTTTCCCCTTCCTCTCTCACCTTCCCTTTACCCTCTTGGTATCACTATGAATATACCTATTTTTCTACCTCTCTTGTGCCCCTGGAAGATAAGCTCTATATTCTGCTACTACTAGTTCCTAGAATAATATTGGGCACATAATAGATGCCCAATGTGAGAGTAAGTAAAAAGCATTCATAAAAAAACATGAAACCCTTTTCAAAGAAAAAGATCAAAATGCAAATATCAATATAGTTTCTCAATACTGTCTCCATCCAGGTCGATACATATCTACAGGTGGTATGTCCATCTCATTAACCCTCCACCCCTTGCACTCTAAGAATGTTGTGCTCTTCGATTTATGCCACATCAAAACAGCAGTTTGGACATCCTCCAGAGACTAAATGCTGTTTTTTTAAATGTTATTCAAGTTTGAAGAACAAGCAAGGCTGAGGGGCAAACTCCTGGGTGGATGAGGTTAGCTTTTCTAATGCCAGCCTCACAGGAGAGCCCTGGCTACCATCAAAGAATGAGCAGATACATTGTCACGATGGGAAAATCTCGGTGCAATTGCCCTGCCATGCACGATCCACTAGCTTCACAGCCTGTCCTTGGAAGCTCCCGCGGTCTGTCAAGGTTTCCCCTTTGGGATCCCCCAAAACATTATCATAACCTTCTGGCCCAGCAGAACCCCTCAAAAGCTATTTTTATTTTTGAGCTTTTGTTTTGTTTATGAATGGAACTTAATGAAGCTAAGGAAAGTGTACTACTTAGAGAACTTGTCTGCAGCCATCCACTGATAACTGAGCTGTATTTAAGCACATTTTGTTTGGGATAAAACTGCACTTGTAAACAGGATACCTAGTAGCCATTGTCAAGATGGCGTGGAGATGGCATCTACTCTCCTGTGACTTCACAACGAGGCAGGAGGGGAAGCACCATCAACGTCACCCAGAGAAGATTCATGTGAGGCAAGGTCAGAATGGCCTTCACCATCCACCCTCATTTACCAGTTCTGACACCAGTCTCTCACCCACAGCACCGTTTATCTGATGGGTCACACAAAAAATAATTGCAATGGCCACACATAATACTCATGATTATCAAGGTTTAACTGAGAAGTTAAGAGATTACAACGCAAGGTTTGAAATACTCATGTTCTTCTGGTTAAACCTGACCCTGAGCCACAAAGCCCCTTGGCCTCAGCCCTGCTCGCACTCCTTAGCACTGCCAATAAATACCCAGAGGGCACCCTCTCCACTATAAGCTTCA